TAGCTGTGAGAATTAATCTGAGACTCAGTTCCCTCATGTGTAGAAGGAGGAAAATAACACCTGCCTTGCAGAATCACCATAAGGCGTGCCCACCATCCCGACCGTCCCACTAGGTGTTAAAAATACTTGATTTCTATTTATGGGGGAGAGAAGGAAGCAGCTTTCTCCAAAAGGACTCACGTGTCCCAGGTGTAGTCTTTCAGTCACCCGAGGTCTTTTGGGGGTGTCGGGACCTCAATAAACTTCTGGTTTCTGCTTTTCATAAGCAAATTAAGGACAAGCAATTCCGCTTGAAACAGAAGTCAGAGCCCTTGCTGGAGGGCTGCCGTCGCCCCCTGGTGGTACTCTATGGTATCGGCCTGCATTTCTAACGGGAGAAAGAAATTCTTGGTACTATTTTAACGTAATTTACTGAATATGCATTCGGCTAGGTACTAAGGCCACAAAGAGAAAGACGCTGCTTGTTACGGTTTGAAAATGAAGTGTCCACCACAGGCTCACGTGTTTGAACACTCAGTCTCCAGTTCAGTGGTGGCTTTTTGTGTGTGGAGATTGTGGAACAAGGTAGGCCACTAGGGGTGGGCCTCTGAAGGTCTCACTTCCTACCTAAGCACTATTTTCTGATTCAGTGAGCTGTGAGCTTATCACAGCTTCTGCTGCCAGGCTTTGAGCTGCCCCAGCCTCCAAGGCCTCTCCACTGTGACGGTCCAGTGTGGGCAGGTGTATGGAGGTCAGAGATCAACTTTGGGGAGTTGGCTCTCCCCTTCCGCCTTGCCGAGGCAGGGTCTCTCTTGTCTCTACCATGCTGTGCAGCCCTTCAAGCTTCCAGGGGATTTCCCCGTCGTTGCTGCCTCCCATTTTGTTGTGGGAGTGCTGGGATTGCTCAGAGCCACTGCGTCTGGCTTCTTGTGGGTTCTGGGGATTGAACTCTGGTCATCATATACTCACTGAGCCATCTCCCTGGATCAGAATAATCAATTTATTTTCAGTCTACCGTCCTTTAAAAAAAATTATTTAACTATTTTGTGTGTATGAGTGCTTGGCCTGCATGTGCGTCTGTGTACCTCATGAATGCCTGGTGCCCAAGGAGGTGGGGAGCCTCCATGTGGATGCTGGGAATCGAACCCGGGTCCTTTCCAAGAACAAGTGCTCTTAACCACAGAGCCTACTCTCTAGCCCTGATTTTATTGTTCCTAATTTGATTCTGAAATTCAAATTTGCCCCAAACCATTGTTGCAACAGTGGTTTGTCACGCAGTCGTGTGCAGTACTAGACTGGCAGGCCCTGTTCACCTCCAAGCTCAAGAAAAACTCAACTGTCGGGCTGGAGAGATGGCTCAGAGGTTAAGAGCACTGCTTGCTCTTCCAAAGGTCCTGAGTTCGGATTGTCCCGGTTCCTGGCTTCGTTGTCCCAGAGACAGCCATGTCTTAGCCTTCCCAAGGTTTAGTTACTATGGTCAATACATTCCCTCTTTGCTTCGGTTGGTTGAAACTAGGCCACTTACAGAGATTTCAGGAGCCCTCACAATGTGCAGGCCCTGGTGGGGAACCACTGGATGGGAGTTTTAAGCAGCTCCTTTGAGAGTTCCAGGGATGTGGCGGGGAGTCAGGGGGATGAGTCTGTTAATGGCTCATGGGAAGGTTTGGCCAAGTATGCACCTGGCCCTGGGCTCAAACTCCGGTACCCATGGCTCCCAGGAGAGCTCCCAGGGCTGTTAGCCAAAAATGCAGCTTTGGCAGCAAAGGTATTTAGGACTTGGGGGAGAAATGAAAATGTAATCTTCTACATCAGAAGGGGGATAGTGTCTAAAAGGTTGTGAATAATTCAGAGTTAATTACTAGGAAACTGCCTTCCTTTCTCTTTTTATTCTTTCTCCTGCCTGATGCTTAGGCTGCAGGTTTGGTAGATAATTTTGTTGCAGAAATTCTACTTGAGAAAGAGTGAGCCAAGTCCAAAGGTCCTGAGTTCAATTCCCAGCAACCACATGGTGGCTCATAACCATCTGTAATGAGATCTGGCGACCTCTTCTGGCCTGCAGGCATACATGCAGACAGAACACTGTATATATAATAAATAAATAAATCTTAAAAAAAAAAGCCACACCTCCTAGTAGTGCCACTCCCTTTGGGGGGGCATTAAAAAAAAACTCAATTGTCCACATCCACTGCTGACGGGAAGGGTCAGTCTAGGTTCTGACACTGAGATATGGATATCTACAGGTCTCCATATCTCCTCTGGAGCTTCTGAAGTTGCCCAAGGGAGCTCTTGACAGCTTAGCTTTGCCTGACTGAAGCTGAAAGCTTTGTAACTTCATTGTAGGCCCGTTACCATCGATTTTCAATTTACCTTGAAAGGAGGCCAACTGAGGATGCATTTTCCTGGCCATCACAGCCAGCAAGTCTGAGTTAGCCACGGTGATTGTGAAGCCAGCCTTCTCTCTGAGTTGGGAAGTACCTAAGTTACCATTCTTCACACCCACAACTCAGGTGGCAGTTACCCCCACCACCACCACCGCCACCACCACCACCTGGCACTGAGACGCCTTGGTAAGCTCATCTAGCCTAGGGCTTTGGATGGCAGCTAGGTACTCATCATTTCCAAGTTACCTCTTTGGCCCAACTTCTCTGCTCCGTATCTAACAGCACACCTGAAACTCCCCCACTTGGGGACTGCCCTCGCTTCCTTTCTGTTGATGTGATTAAAATATCCCGACAAAAAGCAACACAGGGGGTGAAAAGATTTATTCTTAGCTCACAGTTCCAGGTGGAGACATCAAGGCAGCGGAAACTTAAAGCGGCCAACAGTCAGGAGCGGAGAGAAATGAATTCATGCATGCTCGCTTGCTTGCGTTCAGCACAATTTCTTCACTCATAGAGGTCAAGCCCCTCTGCCTAGGGAGTGGTGCTACCCACCATGGGCTGGGGCTTCCCACATTCATTACCCTCATTAAGATACCTCCACAAAGACTGGCCCACAGGCCAGTCAAATGTAGACAACCCTTCATCGAGACCCCTCCCAGGTGATTTTAGGTCACATCAACTTGACAAAGTTAATCAACACAGGGGTCCAGCTGGCATCCTAATCGTCACATTGCCTAACTAGAGCCTGATCTTCTGCCGCTTCCTCACTTCCTCACTCCTTCTCTACTTTCTACTCAACTTTCAGGTCCTAAACCTAGAAGTTACTATTATATCCTGCAATCTGTCAGTAACTGCTGTTAGCTCCACATCTGGAATATATCCTTAACACAATCACGGTTCACCATCCCCACCACAGGAACCCTGGTCCAAAGACACTGCCATAAAGTGTAGACCAGTATTCTCTACATTTATTCGATGTTTTCCCTTAAGAACACAGTTACATTAGAGGGGCTAGAGAGGTGGCTCAGTGGTTAAGAGCACTTGCTGTTCTCTAGAGGACCAGAGTTCGATTCCCAGCAGCCACGTCAGACAGCTCACAAGGTCCAGGGGACCTGAAGCCTCTACAGTCCACGGGCACCTACACTCATGTGAACATACCCATATCTAGACATACATACCTACTCATAATTAAACATAATAAAATAAATCTATAAAAAAATACATATAGAGGGGCTGGAGAAATGGCTCAGCGGTTAAGAACACCGGCTGCTCTTTCGGAGGTCCTGAGTTCAATTTCCAGCAACCACGTGGTGACTCACAACCATCTATAATGGGATCTGATGCCCTTTTCTGGCATTCAGGCATACACGCAGACTCATATCTTAAAAAAAAAATACACACAGAAAGGTATTGAATCTGTATCCCCAACATATGTTGCTGTGGTCCTGCCGCAGCCTGGATTCAGGTCCTGAGACTAGGAAGGCACGCTGGCATGAAGAAATGAACTGTCCGACTGCCAGATGAGTTTCACACAAGTGGCGTGCCCTGAATAGCTCCAGCCGTCTTTATTTATACATCAAAAACAAGCATGTTTTTCCCCTCTAACAAACAAATTTTCCCCATTCTCCAATGTTAACCTCTGGCAAAACCGACACTTATCATTTTGCTAGCTTAGCCAAATATCAAGCCAGGTACATGCTGTCTTTACAAAACTAAAGGTGATTGACATAGGCACACATTTTCAAGAACAACAATCTCGTTCAAAACGTATTTACAGAAATAGAGGTGATTTGCCTCTTGATCTTGTTAGCACTGAATCCCAGGATCTGAAGTGACACTGACAGCTATTGAATGGATGAGGGGTAAGATGTTTTTTTAAAAGGCGGGCTCTGGGAATATAGTATAATATAGTATAATTTTTCTGCACCCAATGAACTAGCTTAGGTACTCTGTAAAACAGCCCCCCAGATGTCCTGCAGACTCCTGTGTCTTCTGATTTTTCCACCCAGGACCCCGAGTGCTCTTCTCAAAACACGAATCCTGTCACTTCCCTTCCTTCCCGGAAACCCTTCCCTGCCTTCCTGTCCTTCACAATATCCACAGTCCTTCCGCTGTGCTACCTGCTCCAGTGGCCTAGCTAAGCAGCCCCGGCTGACCTGGAACCCGCGATCCTCCTACCTCCGCCTCCCGAGCGTGGGGATTATGAAGGTCAGCTTTACGGAAAAAATTCAAGCCTCCGTCATCGGAATCCGTTCCCTAAAAGACTTAAGAGTAGTCTAAGGCAAACGCGACTCGCCAAACCCCTTGCAGGGCACCACCCAGGCTCCAGGGTCCCAGGAAACACGCCCCGCCTCCGACCCGCACACGCCCCCGAAGTACCGCCTCTTTAAATTTTAAAAAGAAGGCTCAGGCCAATGAGGACTAAGTTTCTCCCCGGACTTCAGCGCCCCGCCCACAGTCACACCCTCGACCAATCACGCGCAGGTTTTCCACGCTCCTTCCAGTTAGGGTCGAACATGGCCGTGCCTACGTCACTGACGCTCAGCCCGCAGCCAATAAGAAGCAAGCTTGGGGACCGGCTCCTCCAATAGCAGCCGCTGTCGGGGAGCGCGGGAGCCTTCGGAGCCAGGGCCTCCGAGAAGCGGGGCCATGGCGCTGGCTGACTGAAGCGAGTGCCTTGCCTCGGGAAGGGCAGCGCGCGGCCGGGCTGAGCCCCCGGGGGGCGGCCGAGATGGCCTGCTGTCCCAAAGTGGTGCTGCTGGTGGACACGGCGGGCGACGCCGCTCGCCCCAGCCCGGCCCGGCGCGCCGCCCTGCGCCTGCTCACTTACCTCAGCTGCCGCTTCGGCCTGGCCAGGGTCCACTGGGCCTTCAAGTTCTTCGACTCCCAGGGCGCACGGAGCCGGCCCTCGCGCGTGTCTGACTTCCGCGAACTGGGGAGCCGCTCCTGGGAGGACTTCGAGGACGAGCTGGAGACCAGGCTCGGGGATGGCGCGCCCGGCGCCCACCTGCCCGGCCCGACGCCCAGGGCCACCCACACGCACGGCGCCCTGATGGAGACGCTGCTAGACTACCAGTGGGATCGGCCCGAGATCACGTCGCCCACAAAGCCGATCCTGCGGAGCAGCGGCAGGAGACTGCTGGACGCCGAGAGCGAGGCCAAGGAGGCCCAGGCCGCGCTCGGGGGCTTTGGGAACGCCGTCTTCCTCCTGGCGCCCTGTCCTCACTCGCAGAGGGAGCTGCTGCAGTTCGTGTCCGGGTGCGAGGCCCAGGCTCAACGCGTGCCGCTGACCCCCAAGCAGGTGATGGAGAAGGTGTTGCCCAAGAGGGTCCAGGAGGTCATGATCGCCCGAAATATCACCTTGTACTGGGTGGACACCACCGAGCGGTCTAAGGTAAGGTGAGAGCGGTCTCGGATCCAGTACACGTACTCCCCGCCAGCTAGAACTTGTCAGGCTCTGTAGAGTGCCATAGACCCAGAATGAACGGTGTATGACCCCGTGTGTCGCTTCCGAAGGAGACTCCTGCGGGTCCCAAAGAGGGACAGTTTTCCCCAACAAAATGAGTAGATTCTGTAGCTACTAAATGTGAGTGTGGAAGAGCCTCTGCGCTTTGGTACCTGTGTGCTTTTGCGTAGTTTTCCTACACAGCACTTGTATTCCAGCACGTGCAGTTTGGCTCAGCCAGGCCACGGATCTTTTGTTTGGTGGTTTGTCTTTTTCGAGACAGGGTTTCTCTGCGTTGCCCTGGCTGTCCTGGAATTCGCTCCGTAGCCCAGGCTGGCCTCGAACTCGCAGAGATCTGCCTGCCTCTGGCTCCCAGGTGCTGAGATTAAAGGCATGGGCCACCATCGCCCGACTCGGGTCACAGATCTTGACTGCTTGTTTTGCCCTGTCTCCCTGGACCTCTAGTCCTACCCTTTGTAAAGCGGTAGAAACCTATCCTAACCTTTGTTGTTGGCCTGGCATGGTGGCCGCCCAGTCCATACCTTTAATCCCAACACTCAGGAGACAGAGAGAGGCAGGTGGATCTCTCTGAGTTCAAGGCCAGCCTGGTCTACATAGTGAGCCCCTGTCTCCAAAACAAAACCAAAAATCCTTTGTTGTTGTGGCTTGTTTTGTGGCTCTTGCTCTGTTTGTTCCCGTTGGACACACCTGTCATTTTCCATCTATTCTAGAAATACTATCTCAATGATGATGGCCTATGGGAAGCGACTAGCCAGGCTGCATAGAAAGATTTTTGTCTCAAAAAAGCAAACAAAAGTCTCAAAGGCGGGTACCAGGCCTTAACATAGTTTTGCATTGCCCTACAGTTATGTCTTGAACACTGTAAGTGTTAAGTAAATATCTGCTGATTAGATGAATCACTTTTTACAAACTTAGTCTTAAACGGCTAATTTGGATTTTTGTTGAGGCAGTGAAACTCCTTGCTCCTGTAACTGCTATGATAAATGTGTGTGTGTGTGTGTGTGTGTGTGTGTGTGTGTGTGTGTGTGTGTGTACGCCCTTGTTAGTTTTGAAACAGACTAGTGTAGCAAGTCGTAGCCCAGGATGGAGTGGCCTGGGGCTCTGTGTATTGGAAGATGACCTAGAACTCCTGGTCTCCTCTTTCATATGTATATATGTGAAATTATAACATGAAAGGATCTATAATATATAAAATTAATTTTTATTTCTGTTACATTATTCAGTAAAGCTATATGCATTAATAAGCCATTGCATCTAGTGTGGAAGATATACTGAACAGATGAGCAAATAAGTGATTTCAAAACTTGCTCCAAAGAAAAGAAAGGCTGGGTGAGGGAGGCTGGTGGCTATTGTATTTAGAGGTGTACTTAGGGGGGAAGGCCTTTCCGAGCAGACTTGAACAGTGATGAGGAAGACTATGAAGGCTGGGAAAGAGCATTTCCAGACTTAGAGAAGGCCATGTCTAAGGGTGTGAGCTAGGAATGAACTTTGCATTACAAATAGAAAGACCAGGAACTGGGAACCCAGAAGAGCAGAGTTAGAAAGGAGGAGTGCTGTTCCCCCAGGCCAGGCTTGAGTGTTGATTTTGTTCTGATCAATTAGAAGATGTAGAAAGTGGTTTAAACAGGTGAAGAGCTTCCACCTAATAGAATTACACAACTCTAAGCCCGGAGTTGCTTAAATAGCAAGATTACAGATGAGAAACCAACAGTAATCATCCAGAATGTTGAGATTTAGGGGAAGAAGTGGGAGGTAAATATGATCAAATACATTGTAAGAAATTCTCCAAGAACTAATAAAAAAATCTGACTTTATTTTAAATGTGTGGGTGTTTTGCATTGTTTGTCTGAATTACCTGCAGGGCTGCTGCCTACAGGGGCCAAAAGATGGTGTCAGATTCCTTGACACTGGAGTTGTCGGTGGTTGTGAGCTGCTGTGTGGGTGCCAAGAGTTGAACCTGGTTCTTTCAGGAAAGCTACCAGTGCTCTTAACTGCTGGGCCATTCCTCCAGGTCTAATAAAACCATGTTAAAGTTAGGTGTAGTGGGTCTCTGAGTTCAAGGCCAGCCTTGTATAATGAGTTCCAGGACACTGAGAGCTACATAGTGAGGCCCTGTCTTGAAAAACAAAAACAAATAAAAATTATGTTAAGTATAAGTGCTGAAGAGATGGCTAAAGTTAGAAACACTGATTGCTCTTCCAGAAGATCTGTATTCAATTCCCAGTACCAACCTGGAGGCTTACAACCTTTTGTTTTCGTCTTTTCGAGACAGAGTTTCTCTGTTGCCCTGGCTGTCTTGGAACTCAACCTGTAGACCAGGCTAGCCTTGAACTCAGAGATCTGCCTGCCTCTGCCTCCCAAGTGCTGGGGTTAAAGGCATATGCCACTACTGTCCAGCTTTTTAAATTAGAAGAAAAACAATTTTTTTAATGTGCACTGGTGTTTTGCCTGAATTCATGTCTGTGTGAAGGTGTTGGATTCCCTGGAACTGAATTTACAGACAGTTGTAGCTGCCATTTGGTTACTGGGAATTGAACCCAGGTCCTCTGGAAGAGCAGCCAGTGCTCTTAACCATTGAGCCATCTCTCTAGCCTCTGCTTACAGCTTTTTGTAACTCCACTTCCGGGGGATCTGACACCCTCTTTTGGCCTCCGAGGGCACCAGGCAAGCAAGTGGTGCATGGACATGCATGCAAGATAAACACACACACACATACACACACACACACACACACAAACACACACACACACACACACACACACAAAATAAGTTTTATATATATAATAAAAATTTCCAATATAAATTGGGTATGGTTGAATGCTTGGGAGAATTATGTGCATATAACATATGTAAATGAAATGTCAACATTTATTAGCCCCACCAACCCTTCCAAGCCAGTCTTCTGGCTGAATCAGTTTTAGTAGATTTATTTCTATCCTTTCGGCAGGAAAAAAAGTCATAATCAGTGATATCTGAACTAGTTTGCTTTCTTCCACATAGCGGTGAACTGCATAATTGATAACAGATTAATCAATGAATTAATTGTTATTTGCTGTTACGATGCTTACAAGATTGGTGTGCATGACTGAAAGAAAACTTTCAGAATATATTGTGGGTTTTTTTTTGTTTTTTGTTTTTAAAGCTGAGACCTGTGGTATAGCTCAGGCTATCCTGGAATTCTGTCTTCCTGCTTTAGCCCCCCAAGTGCTGTGACATTTAGTTGATCCATCAAAGTCCATGGAAATGTCATTTTAAAAACATCAAGATAGTTCATTCTTGGACTGGTTGGCCTATCATTGTCTTGCTCTACTTGTGTACAATTCCTTGCTCCTCTTTGAACCTGAATGTAATGGCTAGTTGGGGGATGACCTAGATAACCTTGAAGACCTTCCAGTTTTATTTCTCATACTAATTTATAGTTTAGGTATAGGATGGTTGCTCTAATTTCATATTCCTGTAGTACTGTCTTGTTACATACGATGTTGTCAAATAGTTTACATTGTTACTGTTTTATTCTACCAGCCTTTTCCCCCCTTCTATTTTATGTGTATGAGTGTTCTGTGTAGGCAGAGTTTTCCTGTCCTGACTGCCTGCTCCCAAATAACCAACATGGAGACTTAAGATTTCTTATAAATGCTTGGCCAATAGCTCAGGCTTGTTACTAACTAGCTCTTACAACTTAACCCATTTCTATTAATCTGTGTGCTGTCCTGAGGTTTGTGGCTTTTATCTCTGTCCCATTTTGTGTGTCCAACTCATTCTTCGTCTGGCTGGCTGGCAGGCGGGCAACTCCTCTGACTCTGCCCATCATCCCAGCATTCTGTCTGTTTCAGGCTGTCTCACCCAGTCTCTTCCTGTCCAGCTATCGGACAATCAGCTTTTAATTAACAATGAGAGCAATATGTATTTACAGTGTACAAAAGGAATATTCCACAGCAGTTCTGTTTGCATTTATACCTGTGTATTACTTGTATGCTTGGTGCCCTTGAAGGTCAGAAAAAGGTGTCAGATCCTCTGGAACTGGAGTTGACAGACAGTTTTAAGCTGCCTTGTGGCTGCTGGGAATTGAATCTGGGTCCTCTGGAAGAGCAACTAGTGCTCTTAACCATTGAGCCATCTCTCCAGCTCCAAGTTCACCAGTTTTAAGGGTTCTAGAAGACACTGAGTCTTAACCATTCTTTGTCACACAGAGATTGCACAATAAAAGTTTGTTGAATACCAGGCAGTGGTGGCACACACTTTTAATCTCGGGAGGCAGAGACAGGCAGATCTCTGGTCTGTGGGGCAAGCCTGGTCTGTGGAGCGAGTTCCAGGACAGCCAGGGTGGTTACACAGAGAAACCTTGTCTCAAAACAAGACAAAAGAAAAAACCCCAAAAAGTGTTTTTTAACAAATGCTGCTTGAATATCGGCATTCTATGAGTGAAGGAAAGAGGGGAATTTTTGACAAAGCAGGAGCTGCAATAGATAGAGAAATATTAAAACCCCCATTGGTAAAGAGGCCCAGGAGACACAGCCGGAAAGAACATCCCGTGGTACACATTTCTATAATATAAAGCATGACATGTTGAAGGCACAGTGGCTCCTTGTCCCAGAAGGTGGGGATAGTTGATGAAGAAGCTGTTGGGTTTGGTTTTAAAGGACTTTATGGCAGTGGTGAAGTGTTACTTTGTCTTAGGAGCAGGAAGCAGGCATGAAAGGTTTTAAGGACTAGCATGATGGGCTCTGTGATCTGAGTGAACACACTTGGAGTCAGAGGAAAGGTCAGAGGCAGGACACACACAGCCTTGGTAATCTGTGGAAGAGTTCATTAAGGCCAGGAGTGGTGATAAGTGCTGAGGCAGGAGGACCTCAAGTTTGGGCCCTTTTAGACTACACAGGGAGACCATGACTGAAATTAGTATAAATAAATACTGGTTTTTAAAGAGTTTAGTTGGGCCTAGGGTAGACCTGTAGTCTAGGCTGTTTGGAAGTCTGAGGCAGAAGGATGGAACAAGTCTAGCCTAGGTAACTTGATGAGACCCTGTCTCAAAATGAAAAGCAGTTGGGCTGGAGAGATGGCCCAGGACTGAAGAGTGTTTGCTGTTTATCTAAGAGGACCTGAGTTCGGTTCCCAACACCTATGTTGGACAGTTCATAACTATGTGGTATTAGCTGACCTCTGAGGACACACACACACACACACACACACACACACACACACACACACTGCATGCACTTACACAGATATATACACATAAATAAAACATGAAAAGCAGTAAAAAGAGGGCTACTTTAAAAAAAGAGAGAATCTTTTCTTTCTGTGTAGTTCACGTGTATCACGTGGTAGGAGGGCAGAAGACAACTTTGGTGTCAATGTTCAAGTGGAGCTCACTAAGTAGGTTGTCGAGCAGTGCGCCCTGAGGGTAACTGCTCTCTGTTTCTCAGTGCTGGGATTATAAACAGCGTGTCACTGTGCTTGGCTTTTTAACATGCATTCTAGGGTTTGAATTCAAGTCCCTGTGCTTTCAAGACAAGCACTTTATTGATGGTCATCTCCCCAGTACTGTCCTTGAAGTATGTTATGTGGTGATATGATCTTGGGCTGTGTAGGAATAGATGCCAGCTGTTATTTGTACTTGGCTCAAAGATACATTAAATTGTGTATTGGACCCTTTGATGTTGGTATCACCTTTTTCCTGATTTCCTCTAGCTTATTCATAAATGCTCAATTTACACTCACCCAAGCTTCTTTGTCATGTTTATTTTAGTTGTGGACCTCCCCAGACCACGTGGGGTACTGGACAGTTTGTGAACTGCTCCACCATGGAGGAGGCACCATCTTGCCATGTGAAACTTGGAGCCTGGGTTTTCCTAAAGGCAGGGAAACAGTTCTGCAGAGTGGTGGCGAGCTGTCATGTGAACCTCACCTCTCCCCATGGATCTCAGCTCTGCCAATAGATGCAGCTGTAAACTGCTTACTCTATAACTCTCCTGAGTACGAAGCCTCATTTCCCCAGATGGAAGGAACATTATTTCTCCCTGTTAAAGGTAAGCAAATAACTTCAAAAAAAAAATCTTACTTTTTTTCTTCAAGGCAAAGTTCCAGTTTCTTTAGCATTTCCTGTAGCCTGGTACTCAGTTTCATTGATAGAATTTTAAAAATCCGTAAGCAAAATCAGACACCACAGGAAAACTGAACTGTGGTACAACTGCCAGTGCATGTGTGAAAGAATAAAAGGGAATGATTACAAAGAATTTTTTAGCCCTTTCAAAAGGAAGGATAATATTCTTCAGATACCCAAGCACCTGAGTATAGGGATTTCATTGCCTTGTAGAAGAAATTGATAAATTAGAGATCATATAGAAAGAGGATGATTACAGAAGAAATAATTACAAAGCCCCCAAGTGTTGGTTACCAGGAAAAGCCACCATCTTCACAAATTTGTTTCCCGTATGATTTACTATGTAGTGAAGCTCATTTCTGAGAATATCTATATTCACAGGGAAATACTGCATAGAGATGGATACTTTGAACTATTTTGTAATTATGTGCAGCTTAACGATTTTTAGTGTGTTTTTGTTTTTTTGAGACTCAAGCTGGTTTCAAACTTGCTAGCCTTGAACTGTTTGCTAGTCATACTGCCTCCACCTCCCAAGTGGTGGGATTCTAGGTGTATGATCCAAGAGTTGGCCAGTTTAAAAAATTTTAAGAGTATTTTTCGGGACTAGAGAGATAGCTCAGTGATAAAGAACACTTGTTTCTCTTTCAGAGAACTTAGGTTTGGTTCCTAGCACCCACATGGTATCTCAGAACTATCTGTAACTCCAGTTCCGGGAGATCTATTGTCCTCTTCTGACCTCTGAGGGCACTAGGCACACATGTGGTACATATATATACTCATACTCATACACATAAAAGGGGAAAAAATTTTAAAGAGTACTTTTGTTTAAGCAATTTACCATTCAGTCTTTAGAATCTAACCTTCTCATAATATCTAATACACTGTTTTTATGGGATTTTTTTTTTCCTGTGTGGTACCTTGATATTGAACCCAGAGCCTACATGCTAGGTAGTTATCTACCACTGAACCATACTCTGATCTTACTACAGTAGCTATCTTTCAGTTTTGTTTGGGTCTTCTTTGAGAAGGGACCTCAGTACGTAGCCCAAATTGGCCTAGGCCATTCTGTCTTCCCACTGCAGGCACTTGAGTGCTGGGATTATGAACATTTACCACCCCACCAATCAGAGAGTCTTACTTTTTCTAGTAGTACCACTCGAGTACACATTTCCAAGTCATAATTGAGAAGTTCTGATCCTATACCCATTTGTGTACAGTTTTTTTCTCTGGTGCCAAATGAACCTGCTCTGATAGCTCATAGACAATAAGCTAAGGACTGAAATGTGAATTGAGTGACGTTACCCACTATCTCAACTGGAAATCTGATTCTTTTCATTCTTACTATGAAATCTCTTAGAAACTATTTCATATATTAAAATTTTAATATGCTTTATTTCTATCAGGCAAAGAAACTCAAGAAACATGGGCAGTCTCCCTAGAGCCCTTAGCCATGCATCAGAGACATTTCCAGAAGCCAATCAGAATATTTTTAAGAGGCTCAGTGGCCCAGTGGTCTCTCCCAATGAGTAGTGCTGTCGGCACTGACAACTGGATGCTACAAAGTCCAGAGGGACACAAGTCAACTCAAAGGCTGTTGTTTCAGGAGCTGGTGAGCAGGTTGACTGCTGAAGAATTCCATCTGGTAGGTGTCCCCCACACATCAGGGATTCTTGTCCATTTTTCACAAAATGCCAAGATCACCTGCCTTGTACAGGCTTACTAAAGTTGTTGGGGGTTTTCTTTTTTCTTTTCTTTAAGATTATTTATTTATTATGTATATAGTGTTTTGCCTGCAGAACCAGACAAGGGCACCAGATCTCATTACAGATGGTTGTGAGCCATCATCTGGTTGCTGGGAACTGAACTCAGGACCTCTGGAAGAGCAGTCAGTGCTCTTAACAACTGAGCCATTTCTCCAGCCTCCAGAGATACTGTTGATGTAGACCAGTAGATTGTTTACACTGAAGCGTCCTGAAAATGATGATTATCGGTGAAGAAACCATTTGTACAGTTGCATACATCATGAATCCAATTAAGTTAAAGATCCTGAATTTACATAGAGAAAAGGTAGCTAGCCCACTGAGATGGTTGTATGAGAACGAAATAATGGGTGGTTTTTCACTATTTATTAAATATTCTGTAATATACTTTGCTTTTAATGTATTTAAGAAAAAACTGCTACAATATAAAATTAAATACAATAGCATAAGAATAGTCACTCAAACTTAGAACTGTCTTCTGAAAGGAATACAAATATATCCAGCTTTGACTTTAAAATGATGGTGTCTTTTGTTTCTTTTGTTTTTTGTTTTTTTTGAGACAGAGTATCACTGTTTAGCCCTAGCTGGCCTCGAACTCACAGAGATCTGCCTGCCTCTGCCCCTCATTTCCGGGATAAATGGTGTGCAGCACCACACCCAGCTATGATGGCTCTTTTGTAATTACCCTCAAATTCCTTGTTTTTCCTTCCCTTTGTAATCTCAGGAAGTATCTTTATTCTAGATCCTTTGGTAAAAGATTCTGGAGGAAGATTCTAGATCTTGTGTGGAAACTGTCCTAAGAGTTACATAGTGAAAAGAACACTATACTGTGTTATTACTAATGTGGTACAAAACTTGATTGTACTGGGTAGACGAGCTTGGGGAGTCAGACCTTTTGGATTAGGTCTCGGCTCTGTTGCCCAGGTGTGTGCTGGCTAAACCCCTTCAGTGATTGTGTTGCCTCACAGTGAAGTATATTTCTTCTGAAGTCAGAGGTACCTAGTAGCTTTTTCTTGCACCAGCAGGTGACCTTGAACAAGTAGCTTTTTCTTAAGCCCCAATCCATCCTCTAAAGTGGAAGTGATAATCATTTTAAATTGAGTGGTTATAAGATTCAGCAAATGTGTGATGAGTATATACAGCTGCACTTGCTTCGGGTGCCATGTACTAGGCTTGAAGAAGGTGGGCCAGGATCTCTTTATTCTGTTTTTCCCGACTGAATAAATCTTGTTTTCCTGCTTTTCACTATTAAAATAAAACAAATACAGTTGGAAGGAAACAGACGAAAAGCACATAGTAAATACTACTGGCACTGTAAGCTTTTTCTTATGGGTTGAAACTTAGGGACTATATGAATAGTAAATTTTCTTCTGCCACTGATAGCCAACTACTGTTCTGTCTTCTAGTAGGCTACATTTTTTAAGGCATAGTGACAATAATATTCTCAACTAATTAGCATTTCTTTGTAGGTTGCCAGTGTGGATCCTGGTGAAGGCTGGCCCCCCATCACAGGAATTATTTCCCCATTCTCTGCCAATGCTATGATTCTCACAGTGTTCCGAGCCAAAGAAGCTGAATTTCAAAGACATTTTCTCCAGACAGCTGTGGCTGAAGGCCCCCAGGATACAGCTTCCCTTTTCTCAGATGTTGTAGATAGTGTACTGAATCAGGTCCATAATTTATTTGAAGATCCTGCTTCTTCTGGTAAGTTGTCCCACCAGTGATTAACATGGCAAGGAGTGGTCTGCAGTCTCTTCCAGACTTACCCATCATGCATTTGGTGGACCCCAGGATGTTGTAAGGAAGATAACAGCAGGCTCTAGTCCAAGCTGTCCGCAGTTTAAATCGCTCATTTAGAAATCCGGGAGGACCTGGGCCAAAGGCTCTGGGGAGCACTTTGGAATTAGTCATAAGATGAAGCGTGGCTCTTACTGTAGTTTATGACTATCCATGTAGATGGCTAGGACATGAAAGTAGAGAGAGACTTAAAAAAACAAAGAGGAGGGACATGGGCAATAACAGTGTACTAGGAAAGGAAGACAAAATCGTCTATATTTCCCTCATGTGGGTGCTATCTTCCTGTATACATACATACACATGTGATGTGAAAGCCAGACTGTTTGACGGTGAGAAGGGGAACAGCAAATTGGGACAGTTAGGAAGCAGGTGATGAATATGAACAAGGTTCAAATACAGTGAAACCTATATTTTATACACTGAAAAAATAATTTTAAAGCTTGGGGTGGAAAAGGCTGCATGAGGGCTGGAGAGATGGCTCAGTGCTTAAGAGCACTGGCTGCTGTTCTGGAGGACCCGGGATCAATTCCCAGACACACACACACACACACACACACACACACACACACACACACACACACACACCGGGATCAATTCCCAGACACACACACACACACACACACACACACACACACACACACACACACACACGGCCACTCACAACTGTGACTCCAGTTCCAGGGGGTACAGCACCCTCTTCTGGCTTTCACAGGTACTACACAAAGTGGTGCATAGACATATGCACCCGTACACATAAAATTACAAAAAGAAATTTCAGGGCTGTGGAGATGGCTCAGAAAGGGAAGAATGCTTGCTGCCAAGCCTGAGAATCCAAGTTTGATCTCTGGAACCCATGTACAGCTAGAAAGAAAGAACCAACTCTGCTAAGTTCTCTTCTGACGTCCCTGTGCACATTGTTACATGGAAATACACAGTAATGGTGTTAATAGACAACTTCTGTGAAAGGGCATTGAATTCATAAGTGAAGTGCTTACCTGTGTTTCCTTCTATAAACAAGGGGTGAAGATGCTGTCACAGGGAGTGAAAGGCGAGGTTGAGACTGGTGTTAGAGAGATAATGGTGATTGACAAGGAAAAGAACCGGCCAGACAGGCAGGAGCATGGCGTGGAACAGGACAGGGGGAGTGCTGTGTTCTCCTGTTGTGTTCACATTAACCCGCTTTAATTCAGCTGTTGCTTTTGGGGTAGGGTGTGTATTTGCGTATTTGAAATATCACATTCATCAAAGCAATGGGTTATTTCGTGTGTGTCACTGTCTTATTTGTCAGGTGGGTGTGGACTACTTGTTACATCTTTAGAAACAGGACAGGAGACTATTTTAGAGTGCTGTAAGACGGCACTCGAGTATTTTACCAGTGTGCTCCAGCCTGGCCCAGTTTCTTGGAGTTCGTAAGTCAGTGTGATGCCTTACTGTCCAGACTCCCCACCATACTCTATCCAGATAAGTCCTATTCATGAGGTTTTATTCTGATGTTCCAAACACATCCTCTAGCAGGCCTGTTCTAAGGGAACCCACTCCTCTATAACTCAGTGTCGCATCTTATTGCCTCAGATTTACCAACTTGATCCAGTACAGTGGTTCTACTCTGCAGTTTTAGACTGCTTTTGTTTGTACATTATTTATTTTTGCACTTAAAGGCACTTTTAAAAGGAAGTAAATTTCTGAGAATAGAAAAATAGCACAATTTTAAATGTATTTAGAGTAATGTTTCAGAAATAAGATAAAGGGTTGTGTGAGTAAAAGGAGCAAAAAACTTCATATTGGGTTTGCATTCCCCACCCCCACCCCCTCACCCCAGACAAGACAGATCTGTAGGAGTCGGTAACGCAATGCACAATGGCGGAATGGCGGATGTTGTTAACGATGAGCATTCACATGCACTTTGGAGAGAGGGAAGTCAGCCCGGGACAAAACACTGGATTCTCTCCTTGGTTCTGATGTCTTCTCTTGTTTCTGTCCTTGTAGTAGCCCCCTGTGTTCCAGAGTGGGTCCAGCAGGAGCTTAGTCGTACCAGCCCCTGGAGTCCAGCTCTTATGGAAAAGTGGTTTCCTTTTTCCAACGTCAGTGGTGCCACCTCAGACTTGATGGAGTCATTTTGGTAAAGCTTCATACATCTTTTTGTATATTGATTATTAAAGCAATAGTCAGATGTGAGCAGGCTTGTTCGAAGGGAGCCTACCCTTCTGTAGCTCGGTGTCACAGTTTACTATTGCAGATTTACCAGCTTGATGCAGTATGGTGGTTCTCTGCATTTTACATTACTGTATTATTTTCTTGTACTAAAAGGCACTTTTAAAATGAAGTAAATTTCGGAGACTAGAAAAATAGCATAATTTTACATGTATTTAGAGGAATATTTCAGTAAAATGTAAAATGCTAACATATAGAAACACATCTATCTCTCTTAGTCACTGTTCCATTGCTGTGAAGAGACACCGTGACCAAGGCAACTTATAAAAGAAGGATTTCATTAGGTGTTTGCTTCCAGTTTCAGAGAGCTAGTCCATGACTGTCATGGTGGGGAGTGTGGCAACAGGCAGGCAGCCATGGCTCGGGGGCAGTGGCTGAGAGCTCACATCTGATCTGCAAGTTGGAGGCAAATTGCAAGAGAGATGAGGCCTGGTGTGGACTTTGAAAGCCTCAAAGCCCACACCCAGTAGCACACCTTCTCCAACAAAGCCACATCTCCTAATCCTTAATAGTCCACCAACTGAGGACCAAGCATTCAAATATATGAGCCTATGGGGGCCATTCTCATGTAAACCACCACACTACTTATCCATCTATATAAATATACGGCAGTCAGGAAACATTTAGAACTAAGTATCAATTAAAGTAAAAATTAAGCAACATTGGCTTGGTGAGATGGTTCAGTGACTGAAGTCATTAGCTGCCAAGCTTGATAACTTGAGCTTGATCCCAGGGAGCAAATGGTGGAAGAAGGGCATAACTTCTGCAGGTTATCCTCTGACCTTTACGTGTGCACTGTGGCACCACGCGGGTGTGCACACACACACACACACACACACAAATGCAAAGGAAATATCAAACTGTAATATAGGCGTGGTGGTTTGAATAAGAATGGCACCCATAGGCTTATAGATTTGAATGCTTGGTCATTCTGGAGTGACACTACTTGAGAGGGATGAGGAGGTGTGGCCTTGGTGGAGGAAGTGTGTCACTGGAGGAGCTTTGGTGTTTCAAGAGCCCAAGCCAATCTCAGGGTCTGTTTCTTTCTGCTGCCTGTGAATCTCGATGTGGAATCTCAGCTACCATGTCTGTCTATGTGCAGCCTTGGTCCTCACCATGGTGACAGTGGACTCAACCTCGGAAACTGTAAGCCAGCCCCAATGAAATGCTTCGCTTTATAAGAGTTGCTGTGGTCATGGTGTCTCTTCACAGCAACAGAACACTGACTAAGACAATAGATTAATTTATACTGAAAGAAATACAGGCTTCACTGATTATTTTTCTAAAGAGAAATTTAAGAACCAGTTAATAAGAATCAAGTACAGGAAGGGCTAAGAACCAGGTGTGGTGCTCTCCTGTAACCTCAGCACTTGGGAAGATAGAGAGTTAGTGGTCAGTCCAGGTGCCAAATTAAAGCTGTCTCCCTGCCTCAAGTGTAGGAAGGAGTTAGACGGGTAAGAACAGATATGGATTATGTGGAAAGTAAAACTAAAATAAAAGGTGGTTTCTTAAAAAGTCAAGTAAGGGGCCAGCAAAGTGGCTCAGAAGATGAAGACGCTTGCTGCGTAGACCTTATATGTGAGTTTGCTCCTGGGAGCCTGTCGTGTGGAAAGGTGGAAAGAGAACTGACTCACAAGTTGTAATCTGACCTCCACACTAATCATGCATCCATAACTGTGTACACACACAAAGTAAATAAAAAAGAAAGAAAAGTCAAGTAAGCCTTAAGACTAGGCAACTGAGCACTGGCTGCTCTTCCAGAGGTCCTGAGTTCAATTCCCAGCAACCACATGGTGGCTCACAACCATCTGTAATGAGATCATTGGTGACCTCTTCTGGCATGCAGGCGTACATGCAGACAGAAAACTGTACATAATAAATAAATAAATCTTAAAAAAAGATGAGGTAATTGAAAAAGATAAAGGACACAAATACACAGTATTAGAAATGTAGAAGATATAGTAGAGATTCAAATTATTATTAAGAGGTAAAGTTTAGGGTTTTTTTCTCTTACATAGTTATCCATTTATTCCAGTATCATTTGCTAGAAAATCCTAATTACTTTCCATCAGTTGACTACCATTGTTCAGAAACCTTTCTAGACAGAAGAGTCCAGAAGCTATGATTATACCACATTGTCTAAAATGTTGTACTACAATACCACATACTGTAACTTTATAGTTTAGCTCTCTAATGCAGATAGGGTAAGTTTTCTCAACTTGTTTTGTTTATTTTCTATTTGTTTTGAGTCTAGATTTCTTTTTTTTTTTTTTTTTTTTTGGTTTTTCAAGACAGGGTTTCTCTGTGTAGCTTTGCGCCTTTCCTGGAACTCGCTTTGGAGACCAGGCTGGCCTTGAACTCACAGAGATCCGCCTGGCTCTGCCTCCCGAGTGCTGGGATTAAAGGCGTGCGCCACCACCGCCCGGCTGAGTCTAGATTTCTTAATGTCTATGTGAGGTTTAGAATCTGCCTATTGGGGCTGGGGAAATGGCTCAGTGGGTAAGAACACTTGCTATGAAAGCAAGAGAACCTGAGTTCAACTCCCCAGTACCACATAAAAGCCAGGAATGGCCACACATGAGACCCTGTCTTAAAAAATAAGGTGGAGAGCGATAAAGATGCCCAGCATCCTCCTCTGGTCTCCATGTGCATGCACATAGGTATATATACTCCATCATACACATACACACACACACACGCACACACACACGGAATCTGCCTGTTAATTTCCTCAAAAGAAAAGCCTGTTGGAATTTTGACTGGGTATGTATAGACTCATAGCTAAATTTGGGGAAGAACTGGCATGTTTAGTCTTTGATCCGTAAACTTGGTACATCTATCTGTTTAGATCTTTAATTTCTTATAGTGTTTTATAGTTTTCAATGTAGAAATTTACTCTGAATTATTTCTGAAAAGTATCTTTAAGAATTGAATGTATGGTATCATCATAGAAAAATCCAAAAGATTCTATGGATAAATGATTAAACTAAGAGAATACAGCGTGTTGCTACATACAAAATTAACGTATAAAGTCAATAGCATGCCTACAACAAACAGAAACTATCATTTATGAACTATAGAATTGATCCCTTGAGACTATGGTCTTAAAAAGTATAATTTCTAAGAAAAGACAGTTTATGTTGACAAATCATTCAGAGGGCTTAGAGTATAGCTCACAGGTAGAGTACTTGCCCTGCCTTGGGTTTGACTCTTAACACTGGAAAACAATTAAGGTACTTAGGAATAAATGTAAGAGAGGATGGATAAAAATAAAAGTCTAATGCCGGGCGGTGGTGGCGCACGCCTTTAATCCCAGCACTCGGGAGGCAGAGGCAGGCGGATCTCTGTGAGTTAGAGGCCAGCCTGGTCTACAAAGTGAGTTCCAGGACAGCCAGGGCTACAAAGAAACCCTGTCACAACCAACCAAACAAATGTGAGATGAAAATAGAAGTTCCTCCTCTGTGACATGCAGATTTTCTATAAAGCTACAGTACAGGAGGTAGTGTGGCGGTAGTGCACAGATAAGCCAAAACAGCAGAGAAGCTGGGAAGTGACTTCCTGAATTTATGGGAATGTGGCATGTAACAAACAAGGGTGGCATTGTGAGCCGGCAGGGAAGATGATTCGATTTAATAAATAATATTGGCTAGCCAAAAGATAAAACCAGATTTTAATTACTCAGAATATATAGTAAATTTCTAGTAGATTAAAAAAATAGGAAAAGCACTTTAAAATTATTAGAAAGATAAAATCCAAGATAAATTATATCTAGGTGTATGTGTCTGCATATGGATATGTCACATGAGTGAAGGTGCCCTAGTGGGGCAGAATTGTCCCCTGAAACTGGAGATAAAGATGGTTTGAGCCACCATGTGAGAATTGAACCTGGGTCCTCTGAAAGATCAGCAAGTTCTTAACCATTGAACCATCTCTCTAACCCTCATATACTTTTGATAAAACTCATAAAGATGGATAAACTAGAGATATACAAGTGAAAAATATGTTGAATATGAACAATTGCAAAAGGTAAAATTGTGACATCATTTATATAAAATTTACAACATAGAAAATAGAAGTCATGTGTGTGTGTCTATACATAAGATGTAAACAAACTTAAAAATGCCTGTAGGGAGGGTAGTTGAGAAAAGATGGAGTGGAACTTTAACTATGTCAGCAATGCTTAATTTCTTTTAAAAGTGTGCAGCAGCTATAAAATTATATATTAAGGTAAATATAAAATTACATACTAAGAATTTAATCTCTAATCTTGATGCTAGGTATACTCTTACCTTTATATATTGTATTCTCTGCTTTTCTGGTTGAAAAGTTCGTATGTTCAAATTAACAGCAAATATTTAGAAAGGGAAAAAGGGTGGGATAAGCCTTCCCTACCATCCAGCTCTCATGGGACAGTCAGTCTGCTGAAGACTAGCATGCATGTATGCAGTTGATAGCCCTGCACCTGTTCTGATTCTGGTGGTCTGGAAAGTTCGAATTTGGCCTTATATGATGCATCTTGTCTTATAGGTTATTACATGCTGCCTCACTTGATAATGAAGAATCCTCTAAAACCGAAAGTGAGCTAACACGCTGCCTCTCTGAACTCTACCAGAGAAAATCTCATGAAGAATCTACTGTAGTTAATCAAGAACGCAGCAGAAAGAAACGTATGCACATAGAAAGCCTGCTTCTTGAGGCAGTCTCTCTTTCCTTTTGAGATTACATTTTAAAACACTGTTACTCTTTCTAAAAATGAAAAGAGGTTGACTAAGACTGAAACAGTAACTAAAGACAAATTTTTTTTTTTTTTTTTTTTTTTTGGTTTTTCGAGACAGGGTTTCTCTGTGTAGCTTTGCGCCTTTCCTGGAACTCACTTGGTAGTCCAGGCTGGCCTTGAACTCACAGAGATCCACCTGGCTCTGCCTCCCGAGTGCTGGGATTAAAGGCGTGCGCCACCACCGCCCGACTAAAGACAAATTTTTATATTTCAAATTTGGAAATATTATATTCAATATGAATTAAATCACTGATGTTCTTCCTAATGAATTGAACATCCTCATTTTGATTATAATAGAAATATCAATACAGCTTTTTTTTTTCCTATTTACAAATATTTGCTTATTAGTTACTTTGCCTCCCAGAACCCCATGCTGGGAACCGAACCCAGGGTATCAGGCATGCTAGGCAGTACTTTCCCCTAGAGCTGCATCCCTGGCCAACTTTGCCTTTTTAATCGTTCTGCTTCACTCATGTTGTTGAACATGTAGATTGTTTTCAGTTTCTATCATCACAAATAATACTCTAGTATAGATCATGCATAAACTCTGAGATATTTCCTTAGCATCAGTTTCCAGAAATGAGTTAATTGTGTTTAAAGAGTATGAAAATTGGCTTTTGATGCAGATTGCTTAACTGTGTTTCAGAAAAGCCATGGACTTGCGTAGCATGCATGACCTATGGGCTCTATCCTTAGCACTGCCAGAAAGAAAAGTCTTATTACCACTGTCTCTTGGGCAACACCAAATTGAAGTGTGCTTGGTATTTGCTTTGGGTAAAATCATTGAGATGGGTCTGGAGAGAGAGAGCAGTTAAGAGCACTTTTTCCTTTTGCAGAGGACCCGGGATTAGTTTCCAGCACTCCATGGCAGGTCACAACCATCTGTAACTCCAGTTCCAGGGGATCCAGTGCCCTCTTCTGATCTCCCTGGGTACCAGACATGCACACAATACACACACACACACACACACACACACACACACACACACACACACACACACAGAGGCAAAAGAATCATATACACATAGATGCAGGCAAAAACACTCATGCATGAAAATAATAATAATCATCATCTTTAAAAAATGATTGTTGAGATATTTAGTTCCTAAACTTCAGTAAAAGGAGCCTGTTTATACTGTAGGTAGAAGCAGATAAAAGAACTACCTGGTTCAGATAATTTCTGAAGGGAAATATTTCTTTCCAGTATTCTTTCTGACATAATACAGTTCTTGATTTCATAGAAGTGAAAGTTGACTTTTCGTCCCACACTGGTGTTTTGGCAGGTGGTATCCCTCGAACTCCAGTGAGACAGAAGATGAATACCATGTCCCGCTCCTTGAAGATGCTGAATGTGGCGAGGCTGAATGTAAAGGCGCAGAAGTTCCACCCAGATGGTAGTCCAGACATGGCTGTGGAGAAAGGGCTCCAAAAAACAGCTGTCAGCAGAGCAGGAGAGAAATCAGAAGACAGAGGAAGAGCGCTACGAAGTTCTAAACTTAAAGGTGTTCATTCATTCTAGAACGCTTGGTGTCTGTGTTGTTGTCTAGAGAGCTGGAGGCTGAGCAGTCCAGCCCAGCTGATAGAGTGCTTGCCTAGCATTCATGAAATCTTTGGGTTTGATTCCTCATATAAAACTGAGCATCATGGTGCACACATAGAATCTCAGCACTGGGAGGTAGAGGCTGGAGGATCAGAAGTTCAGTGTCCCCTCCATTCACCATGAGGTTGATCCTAGAGATCTACTCAGGTCATCAGGCTTGGCAGCAGGCACCTTCTTTTTTTCTTTCTTTTTTTTTTTTTTTTTTCCTGAGACAGGGTTTCTCTGTGTAGTTTTGGTGCCTGTCCTGGAGCTCACTCTATAGACCAGGCTGGCCTTCAACTCACAGAGATCCGCCTGCCTCTGCCTCCTGAGTGCTGGGATCAAAGGCGTGCGCCACCACCGCCCGGCAAGGCACCTTCTTACTAGCCCATTTTTATTGAGTTTTAAGAGGTCTTTGCCTGTTTTGGATAATGAGCCTTTATCAGATGTCCTATGCAAATATTTTCTTCAAATCTATGGCTTATCTTTACACTCTCATCAGTATGTTGGTAGAACATTTAATTTCTTTTTAGTTGGTTGGCTTTGTATCTCAAGTAGCCCAGGCTAACCTCAAGCCTGCTATGTGACAGAGTTTTGCCTTGAACTTCTGTTTCTTTTTCCTCCTAGATATCTAGATTTTATTTGTTATTTTCTAGCAATCTTAGACCTTTTATTTTCATATTGTGACTGACTCACTTTGAGTTAATCTTTGTGGAGGATAAAAGATTGTGTCTAAACTTAATCTTTCCCATTGGATGTTCAGCTGTTTTACACCATTTATTGATCTTGCATCCATTGTATCACTTTTGTTCTTTGTCACAGGTCAGTTGACTGTACTAATACTGAACTCTATTCTGTTCTATTGATCTGTTTGTATTTTGTTTTTCTGATGCCACACATACAGTAAGTCTTAAAGTTGAGTGGTTTTTAGTCCTCTGCTCTTATCTCTTAGCATTGTGTTGGCTTTAAAGTCTCTGTATGAACTTTAAAATCAGTTTGCCAGTACCCTCAGATTAACTTGTTGAGGTCGTCAGTGGGTTGCATTAAATTTACATCTTGACAATGCAAAGCTTGCCTGTTTATGAACATAGGGATACTTCCACTTATTTGGTTCTTGGATTTCTTCCATGGTTTTGTAGTTTTCCTCATATAGGTCTAACACATATTTTGTTAGATTTAATTTCTGAGTACTTCATTTTTTTGCATGTTAAAATAACTAATGATGCCGGGTGGTGGTGGCACACGCCTTTGATCCCAGCACTCAGGAGGCAGAGCCAGGCGGATCTCTGTGAGTTTGAGGCCAGCCTGGGCTATAGAGCAAGATCCAGAACAGAAACCAAAACTACACAGAGAAACCCTGTCTCAAAGCAAAACAAACAAACCTAATGATGTGTGTGTGTGTGTGTGTGTGTGTGTGTGTGTGTGTGTGTGTGTGTGTGTGAGTTTAAAAAGATTTATTTATATTTTATGTTTATGTGTTAACCTGCATTTATGTATTTGTACCACATGTGTGCCTGGTATCTACAGAGGTCAGAAGAGGGCTTCACATCCCCTAGAACTGAAGTTACTGGCAGTTGTGAACCACTATGTGGGTGCTAGGCACCAAACCCAGGTCCTCTTCAAGAGCAGCAAGTGCTCTTAACCACTGAGCCTTATCTAGTCCCTGCTAATGTGGTTTTAGTTTCAAATTCCACTTGTAAATTGCTAGTATTTACAGAAGTAGCAGGCTTTTGTAGGTTAACTTTGTTTCATACAGCCTTCTGATAATTTCTCATTAATTCCAGGAGCTTTCTTGTTAGTTCTTTCAAATTTGCTACGTAGAAAATCTTGTCATCAATGAACAAAGACACTTTTTAAAATTTTTTTCTTGATCTTAAATTTTTATTTGTATACTTACAAAGCCTTAGAAATAGTCACTAATCTCTAGTCTTTCTTGATCTTGGAACTAGTGATATTTTGGATGAGCTATCCTTTTGTGTTGGCCTGTTAGGCACTGTGGAATGTTTAAGATCATTACTAGCATCTGCACACTATCTAGTAACCCCTAGTGTCTGTCATGGCAATCCAGACATGGTTAGATTTCTCTTGGAAGACAAAAGTCTCTCTCTCCAATTGATAAACCCTTAAACAATACACAGAGTTGATCAGAATATGGTAACCAAATGTTCTTTTTTTTTCCCCACAGACTTTAAAAGTGAAGAGGAGCTACTGTCTTACATACATGAAGAATACCAAAAAACTGTGGCTTCGGGAGAAATCACATCATATTCATGTGCTCAGAATATGGTCTCAACCATTAAAGTGTTCCTAAAGTCGAAGGATGTCAAGGAATTAGAAGTAAGGAAGTCTAGATAATGCTGTCATAGATGTAGTTGGTGGTTTAGTGCACATACCTTGAAGAATTTCCATTATGCTGTACATGATTGAAAAATTATGAGTTGGCTGGAAAGCTGGCTCAGTGGTTAAGAGTACTGACTGATCTTCCAGAGGATCCAGGTTCAATTCCCAGCTGCATTGGGGCTCACATTTGTAACTCCCGGTCCAAGGGATCTGATGCCCTCTTCTGACCTCTTTGGGTACTGCATGCAGATGGTACATAGATGTATATGCAGTCAAAACACTCATACACGTAAAATAAAGATATTTTTAAAAAATGATGAGTAAAGGATTGTGTACAATTCCAGATTTTTGAATGTGAGTGAGCCTGATAAACTGGAAGTCCAGAAATCAAAGGGGACTTCTGTCCTAATGAAAGTGCTATAATTTGTGTTAGCTACATGAATTGAGCTAATGGTTCTAAACCTAACTGCTTTTCAGAATCACTTTGTTGTTGTTGTTTTGGTTTATTATTATTATTTATCTGTTTGTTTCTATTTTATGTATATGGGTCTTTTGTCTGAATGTATGTCTACACACCCTGTGCATCGGTTCCCTGGAACTGGAGTTACAGATGTTTGTTAGCTCAGTGTGGGTACTGGAAATCAGACCTGTGTTGGGACTTGGACATCTATTTGGTTTTTTTTAAAAAAACAAAACAAAACAAAAACAAAAGCAAAAAAACTCCCTACATAACTTTAGCAGTGTTGTAAAGCACTGTTTTAGAATACCTCATTGCCTTTATTCATGTTTAATGGCCAAAGCAAGGCTCTTTTCTCTATAGCATACAAGAGCTGTTTATGGTACCACTGCTTTGTAGAACCTTCTTTTTTTAAACTAAGTGTATATAGATGGGTGTGGTGGCACACTCCTTTAATTCCTGCACTTGAAAGGTTGGAGGTGAGTTCAAGGCCAGCCTGGTCTACATGATAAGTTCTAGGACAACCAGGACTACATAGAGAAAACCTCTCAAAAAAGGGCTTGTGTGTGTGTGTGTGTGTGTGTGTGTGTGTGTGTGTGTGTGTGTGTGTGTATGTGTGTATGTGTAGTATATATGTGTGTGAGTGCAGGTGTGTTCAGAGTCTAGAAGAGGGTTCAGATCCTCTAGAGCTGGAGTTATAGGTAGTTGTGAGCAGTCCAGCATAGGTGCTAAGAATCCTCTGCAAAAGCAATTTGTGCTCTTAATCCTAACTGTTGAGCCATCTCTACAGCCCAAAGAACCTTCCTTTAACAGTTGAAATCTAAAGGTTTGCTGTGTCTACTTGGTTACACAAAGTTTTTTGTTTTTTTTTTAAACCGGCGTTCTCTTTAAGACATCAAAGGAAAGTGTTCATTTCAGTGGTTTTCATTCAAATGAAAGAAGAGGGAAGTATATAAGGCATTAGAAATAAGTAACAGTTTTCTCCTACATAATAATTTGTATTTGCAGGTGGCTTGCCTGAATCATATGAACAGTAACCTCTTAAAAACCAGCAAAATTCTTCGACAGAATCAAGGGGGGAAGCTGGATAAAGAAGACAAAGTCAGAGAGTAAGAAACCACTTTGTTTCATTTTACTACTACTCAAAAACAGAGCTCAGGTTAGCTTGGGGCAGTTTAAAGTTGTCAACTGCTTGAGCATGCTTTGTTAGTGACCTTTATGATGTTTTGAGGGGCAGTTTGAGTCATCTGATCACCTAACAAGCACACCAGTATTCAGAGAAAGCACTGGATTCTTATTAGACTCGTTTCCTTCCATCCTGCCCTCCCTTCCTTCCTTCCTTTTTTTCTTAGAGCCTGGCCTGGCCTCAAACTTGCTTTGTAACTGAGGCTGACCTTGAACTCCTCCTTCTCCCACTTCCACCTCACAAATACTGAGGTTGCAGGGTGCATCATCACGCCCAGTTGACGGAGTGAATCAGGTGCAAAGAGGCCTCAGGCATGCCAGGCAAGGACTTCACCAGCGAGCTACACCCAGGTCTCCTCGCCTGTGCACTGCTTTTTCAGTACTGGAGAGTGAACCCAGGGCTCTGTGTGTGCTAGGCATGTACTTCAGCACTGAGCTGCCTTCCCAGTTCTTGGTCGTTGTTCCTTATATAAATAGATCTTTGCTCAGAGAAAGAGTTCTCAGTAAGTGACAGCTGAAGGAGATGTGACAGAGCATTTGTTTCCTCAAGGTGCCAGCTTCAGGTGTTTCTTCGTCTGGAGATGTGCCAGCAGTGCCCCTCGATACTGGACAGTACAGATGAGGTGGAACAAGTAGTGGAGGAGGTGAGTCCATGGCTGCTGCCCTGAGAGCGAGCATGCACTCCTGCTTTCCACTTCCCGCCAGGGACTGTGGTGATCTTCTGTGACCTCTTTTAGGTGACAGATTTGCTGCGTATGGTGTGTCTCACTAAGGACTCGGCGTACCTGTCAGAGTTTCTGGAGGAGATTTTGAGATTGTAAGTTTAATGACTACTGGCTTCGTTTAAAATTGTTTTACCAAGGACTACACATGGTGCTATCTTAGAATTATAAGATTCCAAGGGTATTGTGTTAGGCTGGGTGGAGGGATAGAGAGGATGAGATGGTAACTCTGTTCCATATCTAACCACTATACTCCACAGGTATATTGACTCCATCCCAGGGACAGTTGGACAACTTTACCACAGCCTGGGGTTAAAGATTCCTCAGAAGCTGGCTGGAGTCCTTCCTACAGAATTGTTTAGTGATGATTCTATGACCCAAGAGAGCAAGTCCCCACCTCCCTCATCAAGTGCTCACAGATCAGTGTCGGGCACCACTGAGTCTGAGCAGCTGGAGGAGCTGCGGACCAGATCAGCCAAGAAGAGAAGGTACTGGAGCAGTTCATTGGACTGGCGTTAAGTTCAAAGAAGGGGCAAGTCTGCAGACAGTCTTCTTGTTTTTGCCATCTGGTGTACTGAGGTGGTAGTTGCCCTCGATTCCAAATCACAGACAGCAACTCAGGAGTAGCATCTGACACTGTAGATTTGTAGCTCAGGGAATATTGGTTTACAAAGCCCTTGTTTACTGTCTATAGGGATGTCTAAGAACTAGGAACCTCTTGTGAAGTGAGATCAGGGTCTCAGCTTATTTGTGCATTTCCCTTGTGCCTGTCACTGCCATTAACTAGCCGAATCTGTAGTAGTTATTTTTCGTAATTCTGGACTGTTACAAATACAGGCCAACCTCAAGTTAACTAACTAGCACTTATTTAAACAATGTATTTTAGATGCTTGTTTCTTGCAAGCCTCATTACATATTTCCTTTACTTGGTATGTTTTCTATTTTTAAAAGGAAAAATGCACTAATAAGACACAAAAGCATTGCAGAGATTTCACAGACTCTTCGACAGATTGAAGTTCCCAAAGTGTCCAAGAGAAGTACGAGAAATGTGAGTAATTGCCATTGACAAGAGCTAACGGTTCCTCTGTGGCTGGGGTTGATGGTGAAGAGGAAAGGCAGTATTTTTCCAAGTGGGAAGTCAGCTTTGGAGAGTCCTTATCTGAAATGATACTTTAGTGTTTGGACTTTGGAGTATTTACAATCAAATTTTTTTTTTAAATCTTCGGGAGTTAGAGAGATGGCTTAATGGTTAAGAGTACCGCTGCTCTTCCAAAGGTCCTGAGTTCAATTCCCAGTACCCTCCTTGTGGCTCACAACCCACTGTAGCTATACTACTACAGGGTCTGCTGCCCTCTTCTGGTGTGCAGACATACATGCAGACAAAACACTCATACACATAAACAAATAAATCTTTTGGAAAGAAAAATCCTAGGATTTTAGCACAGTTCAGATTTTGGACTTTTGAATTTAGGGATAATCAACTAATATTGACTATTTCTGTGAACATGTATTAAACTATAACCAAAGGAATAAAGAAATATAAGTTAAAAAAACAACAACCAAAACAAAACAAAGGCTAGTTCAGTAAAGTACTTGCAGCCTGAGTTCAGTCCCCAGAACTGCTACACGTACACACACACACACACACACACACACACACACACACACACACGCACGCACGCACGCACGCACGCACACACACACAGAGTGGGGAGGGTAGAAGCTCAGTCAGTAAACTTCTTGCTTTAACATGAGGAGCTGAATTGGAGTTCTAGACCCATGTTTAAAAAGTACATCTAGTAGGACTTAATCAGTGGTTAAGAGCACTGGCTGCTCTTTCAAAGGACCCAAGTTCAGTTCCCACCTGGCAGCTCACAGTAATCTGTAACCCCAGATGCAGGGAATTCGACACCCCCATTCAGACAAAACAGAGAGTCATAGCGTACACCTCTAGTCTCAGCACTCGGCAGGCAGGCCAGCCTGGGCTACACAGAGAGACCCTGTCTTGAAAAAAAAAAAAAGGAAACAAAAACAGCCAGGGATTGGGGGCATGCTCAGTTGGTACAGTGCTTGCCATGCAAACCTGAGAACTTGAGTTAGTTTAGAACCTGCCCATAAAATAGTGGCACATACTTGTGATCCACCACTGGGGAGGCAGAGACACAGATCCCTGGGTCTGCTAGACAGCTAGGCTAGGCTACTTGGCAAGTTTCAGGCCAGTCAAGACCCTATCTCAAAAACAAAAATGGAGTTAGTTCCTAAGGAAGGACACCCAGAGTTGTTCTTTGGCTTTCGCGTGCACACATGTGGACCTGTCTCCACACAAGTACACATCTGTGAACAAACATGAATAGTTATAGGAGTTGGGGCTGGAGAGATGGCTCAGTTAGAGCCCTTGCTTCTCTTCCAGAAGACTCGTTTGGTTTTCACAACCCACACTGGGGAGGCTCACCAGCACCTGTAACTCCAGCACCAGGGCATCCTGTGCCTTAAAACTCCAAGGATACCTGCACAGACACACATGCACATAACTGAAAAATAATAAAAATAGATCTTAGCCAGGCATGGTGGTGCACACCTTTAATCACAACATTCAGGAGGTTGAGGCAGGTGGATGTCTGAGTTCGAAGCTAGCCTGGTTTACAGAGCTAGTTCCAGGACATCCAGGGATGTTATACAGAGAAACCCTGTCTCAAAAAACTTAAGAATGAATGAAGGAATGAATGAATGAATGAATGACTAAATAGATAAACAAATCTTAAAAAAATGTTAGGCAAGAATGAAAAAAATTAGGCAAGAATAAATTCAAAGTCTTTACATAACAAAACTTAGGAAACTGAAAATGTCATTGAAAAATAATGATAGTAATAGGTGTTTGATTATCTCCCAGAAAAGTATTTTTCAGTATGTTACATTTCACTTCAATAGCAGCTGGGGGAGGGAGGGGAGACGGCCACTGTCATGAAGCCTGCTTACTAGGTGGGCTTACCATCCTGCTGAGGAAGGAGGGAGGGATAAGGTGCAGGGGTGCTTTGGAACCGTTGGAGAAGAGGCAAGTCTGTGGAACTTGCTTCAGAAGCACCTCTACGGTAGTAGCTGTTCCTTTCTAAACTGCCCTTAGCATGGGAGGCAGGGTTTCTTTTAGAAGTAAGCAGTATTCACTTTCTTCCCACACCTCTCCTGTGGAGAAGATGCCGGTCCCACAGATCTTGCAGTTATGACTGAAGGGCAAGAAATCTAAAAGTGGATGGACAGAAGCCGGGAGAGCTCTGTTATCACTATAGATTGTTGAAGACAGCCATGGCTGGGCATGGTGGCTCACACCTTTAGACCCAGCACTCAGGTGGGTCTTAAGTTCGAGGCTGGTCTGGCCTACATAGTGAGTTCCAGGACAGCCAACATTACGGAGTCTGACTCTGTTTCTGAAAATAAGCAACAGCAAAGAACACCAGAGCAGACTTATGGAGATCAGGATTTGATACTGAATAAAGAATGTATTTCATGCCAGCTGGTACCAAGATAGTGATAGCTGTTGAACTGAAGAATCAGATATTAAGTTTCTATATAAGAAATTTGAGTTTTTTTGAAAGGTCAATATAGTTAAGCTAGGAAGCAGTGAATTTGTAATAAAGTGTAGCATACATTAACTATGTATATAAATCACATTAGTGAATATTCATTCCTTTGCATATATTAATTCCTAAAGATTAGAAAGCTTGGGGAAAAAGTTTTTGACCTCACCCTAATACCTCCTTGATACAATCTTAGTTTTCCCTTTTTTTCCCTCATTTTTCTGTTTTAAAGATTTTTTTTTTATTTTATTTTATTTATGTAAATTTTTTTTTTTTTTTTTTTTTTTTTTGGTTTTTCGAGACAGGGTTTCTCTGTGTAGCTTTGCGCCTTTCCTGGAACTCACTTGGTAGCCCAGGCTGGCCTCGAACTCACAGAGATCCGCCTGGCTCTACCTCCCGAGTGCTGGGATTAAAGGCGTGCGCCACCACTGCCTGGCCAGTTTTCCTTTGTAATTGGAAGAACAGGGTTGATAAACAAGGTTAACTAACAAAGAGTTGATTAAAAAGTTAATAACGTGTTGATACAGAAAAAGTAAAAGTCATGATAATAAATACTTAAGCCTTAGTAAGCTGTCCAGTATCTGTCTTTTTGGCACATTTTTGTTAGGAAAGTGACCATGGGTAATTTGTAAACACACAAGCTTTGTTTTCTAAAAGTAGCTAAATTATTTATTTTATGTGTGTGAGTGTTTTGCCTGTACGTCTGTCTGCACATTTGTGCCTGGTGCCTAGGGAGGCTGGAAGAGGACATCAGGTCTGCTGGGACTGGAGTAACAGGCAGTTGTAAGTTGCTGGGTGCTGGGAATCTAACCCAGGTCCTTTGGAAGAACAGTCAGTGCTCTTAACCGCTGAGCAGTCTCTCCAGCCTGTTTGTTCTCTAAACAAGAGCTGATCCAGATTTTGTATATTTTTGTTTGCTCAGTTGGGATTCTTATGTTGAACATATTTTCGTAGTTGTAATTTAAATCATTTTAGAAGATATTACCAACCAATATAACTATTGACTATCATATTTAGCCTTTCCAGAAAGATACTGGTTATATTACTGAGACCATTTATTAAGTTTTTCTCTGATGGTGCAGGCCTATAATCCCAGCACTTTGAAGACTGAGGCAGGTGGAATGCATATTCAGAGCCTTCAGAATGAGTTCACAAAACTAACCTGAACAACCTAGTGAGAGCCTGTCTCAAAATAAAATATAAAAGCAGGGTTAGGAGTATAACTCAGTTTAAGAGTCCTTGTCTACCATGTTTCAGGGCTCTGGGTTCAATCCCCAATGCCATCAAGAAAAAGTTATGTCCTATGTGGTATTTTATTCTTCAACTATTATGAGAAATGGCATGGCTGAAATGGCAAATAGAGGCTGGAGAGATGGCTTTGTGGTTAAGAGCACTGGCTGCCCTAGTACAGGACCCAGATTCAATTCCCAGCACCCGTGTGGTGGCTCAGAGCCATGCATTGTTCCAGTTCTAGAGGATCAGTGCCCTCTTCTGATCTCTGTGGCTTGTACATAGTACACATACAAATATGCAGACAAAACTCTCATACACACAAAGTATTGAAAAGAAAGAAATAACAAATGGAAAAATCTTGAAAAAGGATTCCCTTTTTTAGATACATCTGGAATTTAGAGTCTTGACTCCTTTACTAGAGTAACAAGCCAATAGAGGTTTGATACAGAGGTGTTATAAGAGTCCAGTGTCCTAATCTATATGGCTTTCCCCTTTTTAGGTTACAGAAGGTATACATGGTCATCTCTTCTCTATCCATTCTCTAAAAATTATAATACCAGTTATAGTCTGTTTATAATCCTAGACCCTTTTCCGTATATACCTAAAACAGATATCAACAGTTTATGTTTGTTACCCACATATACATGAACCTTAAAAATAATTTCATCCATGGGCTGGAGAGATGGCTCAGTGGTTAAGAGCACTGGCTGGTCTTCCAGAGGACCTGGGTTCAATTCCCAGCACCCACATGGCAGTTCATAACTGTCTGTAACTCCAGTTCCAGGTGATCTGACACTTTCACACCAATGCATATAAAAATAAATTACTAATTAAAAAAATCATAATTTCAACCTAGCTGAGCATATGCACATCCCTGTAAACCTCATGTGAGACGCTGAAGCATGAGTATTGTTATGTAGCTAGCCTGAACTGCATAGAGACTCTTGTTTTCCAAGAAACAAAGATTGAAGCTACCGTACTGACTGTGCTGAATTTAAAAGCCCTTCCCCATCGCATATCTCTATGGTGGTATATACTAGTCTCCCATGTGCTTTCAATTCCTCATTGGTTGGGTGTGTGACTTCACTGTTTCACTCTTTATGTGCGATCACAGTGCTTCTTATTTTGGATTACTGCTCTGTAGCGAGGATGTACATTAGTGCATTTTACTATTTCTGCTATGGATCTCTCTGAATTGCAAGTTTCAGGTAGAACTCTTACTTTTTATCTTGAATGAATGCCTGTGTTGATCTTCCTCATTTCTCATTACCAGGAGAACTCTCACCTTGCTCCTGCACAGCCAACTCTCCCAAGGAAAGACACAGTTCAAGGTGTGTGTGGGTTTTTCAACACCTATTCACTGGATTGACACATTTATTTTGATTGGATGTATTTAATGTAAGTTACAGCTCCTTATCAACACTGGTTAAAAAAATACATCCAAATTCCTTGTTTTGGGATTCCTTTGTTTGGGAATAAGAAAGTTCATATAGCCTTAAATTAAAATACTGCTTCATGCAAATTACTGACCTAAAATATTTTAAAATGTCATTATCATGGAATCCAAAATTAGAAAAAAGAAAAGAAAGAAAAAGAGAGAGAAAGAGAGAGAGGCAGTGGAACTGTTTAGACAGAAGAAGTTTAAACATGTTGGTCAAAGTGCACTCCATGGTCCTGCTTGGATCTTAAGTAAAGTTTTTTCTTTCTTTTTTACACTTAAAATATAATTATATCACTTTTCTCCTTCCTTTTCCGCTCTCTAGTCCTGCCCATGAGTTCTGCCATCCCTTTTGAAGTCATAGTCTCTTTTTCTTTGTTATTGCTCCATATATGTATGTGCAGCACAAACCTAAACATATAAACACACAATCTGCTCCATCTGTTTAGAGTTGCTCATATGTATATGATTTCAGGACTGACCACCTGGTATTAGATAACTAATTAGGGGCTCATACCTGCAGAAGACTGTTTCTCTCAAGTTAATAATATACTTTTTTGTTTGTGTTTTTTTTTTTTTTTTTTGGTTTTTCGAGACAGGGTTTCTCTGTGTAGCTTTGCGCCTTTCCTGAAACTCACTTGGTAGCCCAGGCTGGCCTCGAACTCACAGAGATCCGCCTGCTTCTGCCTCCCGAGTGCTGGGATTAAAGGCATGCGCCACCACCGCCCGGCCTGTGTTTTTATTCTAAGACAGACTCTCACTATATAGTTCTGGTTGCCTGGCACTTGATAGGTAGACCAGCCTGTCCCTGGAGCCACAGAGATCTGTCTGCCTCTATTCTCTAGTGCTAACAAATAGAAACATTTACTATATCTATAAGTAAAAATACTAAATTCAGGCTGGAGAGATGGCTCAGAGGTTAAGAACACTGGCTGTTCTTCCAGAGGTCCTGAGTTGAATTCCCAGCAACCATGTGGTAGCTCACAGTCATCTGTAATGAGATCTGGTGCCCTCTTCTGGTCTGCAGGCATACATGCAGACAGAACACTATGCATAATAAATAAATAAGTAAATAAGTAAATAGATAAATCTTAAAAAAATACTAAATTCATTATTAAATACTTCCCACAAAGAAATGTCGAAGATTAGATGATGGCTTCACTGCCGAATTCTACCCAGCAATTAAAAATAAACACTCTAAACACTCTAGCATGTATTATCTCAGTTGATAATTCTAGACAGTACGCTGAGGAATGGATTACCTTGAACAAATGAGGCTGAGATAACTGTATGTCCATGAGCAAAAGAAGGGTACTGGGCCTCTACCTCATTCAAAATTCTGTATAAAACTTTTGGAACCTGTAAGGTCAGTAGTTTTGTGGTTCCCCCAGAAGTATGTTATCCAGGGGAATCATTTTAATACATAAGGTTACTGAGTGGCTTCCTTCAGCAGCTCTGTGTTTGGATCTGGCGTCCTCAGTTAGTTGACCAACATAATGCTTTTTATCTCCTGTCTCCCTTTCCCTCAATGCTTTTAGAAGTGACAAAAGTCCGAAGAAATCTCTTCAACCAGGAAATGCTTTCTCCTTCAAAGAGGGGGCTAAAGCGGGGACTGCCTCGAAGCCATTCTGTGTCAGCCTTGGACGGTCAGCACCACAGACAGGACAACTTCAAGAAGACCAAAAGCAGCACGTTTCAAGGTAACCTCAGAAAGAGCTTGTGACAAATTTGTGGTGGCATTGTTCCACTTTTATTCCCAAATCAGCAATCTGAGTCTTCCTGCCTTTTTCTTGATGACTTTAGCTAAAAGTTTGCTAATTTTACTGATCTTTTGAAGAAACTTGGACTTTGCTTCATTGACTTTCTAGCCTCATGTTCCTTCCCACCACTTACTTTGGTTTTAATTTCTTGTTTTTCTTTTTCTTTTTTTAAAAGTTTTGGTTGTTGGTTTTGTTCTGTAGGGTGTGGGCAATAAGATGTCTCATATGAATCTCTTTGGGTTCATCCTTGGAGTCCTTTAAACTGGAGCGGTTAGGTTCGTGTCTTTCATCTGATTGAGGACGTTTTTAACACTTTTTCTTCAGAAAGGTTTTTCTGCCCCTTTGTCTTTTCACCGTCTAGAAATCCCATGATGCATATGGTAATATCCATGATGGTACAGTGTACATGGGTGCCTCAGGCTTTCTTAATTTTTCTTTCTTTTTTCTGGTCAGGCTGTTTAATTTTGGATGCCTTCTTTTTCAGTCACTGATTATTCTGCCTGCTAAGACATATGGTTGGATCCCTTACAGTTTCCTGTTGCGTCTCTATTTTTGTTGTTGTTTATTTATTTATTTTTTGTTTTTGGTTTTTCGAGACAGAGTTTCTCTGTGTAGCTTTGCGCCTGTCCTGGAACTCACTTGGTAGCCCAGGCTGGCCTCGAACTCACAGAGATCCGCCTGGCTCTGCCTCCCGAGTGCTGGGATTAAAGGCGTGCGCCATCACCGCCAGGCAATCCAAGTTATTTTTATCTTTTAGAAAATTTTAAATTAAAATTACATCATTTTCCTCCTCCCTTTCTTTCCTCCAGCTCCTCCCATGTTCCTCCCTCAGTCCCTTTCAGATTCATGTCTCCTTTTTTTTTTTTTTTTTTTTTTTTTGGTCTTTCGAGACAGGGTTTCTCTGTGTAGCTTTGCGCCTGTCCTGGAACTCACTTGGTAGCCCAGGCTGGCCTCGAACTCACAGAGATCCGCCTGGCTCTGCCTCCCGAGTGCTGGGATTAAAGGCGTGCGCCACCACCGCCCGGCCTTCATGTCTCCTTTTTAATTATACCTTATATGTATGTATGTAAGTATGGATGGATGTGTGAATATCTATTCACATAAATATATAAATACAGCTTGCTGGGTCCCTTTAGTGTTGTTTGTTTATATATGAGTTTAGGGCCGAACACTTGGTATTAGACAATCAACTCGGGGCAACTCCATGGGGTAGACTTAATTCTCCCTCTCTGGGCAGTCATCAGCTGCCTGTAGTCCTTTGTCTAGGCCTAGACAAAGGCCTGTGAGATTATGTTAGTGTCCGTTGATGTCACTGTTCAGGTTTCATTTAGTCAGTCACACATGTTGAAGTATAACAAGTGTAGCTTCCCTGGCATTTGCAGCAGATTTTTTGGTCCCAGGGCTTTTATTTATCTTCCTACCCCCTCTTTGGTGATGTTCCCCAAGCCTTAGGTGTGGGATTTGTGTTGCAGATACACTAATTTGGGAAGAGTACCCCACAATCAGTTGCTCTCAGCATTTTGGCCAGCTGTGGCTTTTTGTATTGGTCTTCATTAGCTGTGAAGAGATGCCTCTCTGATAAGAGATGAGTGCTATACTTAGCTGTGGGTATCAAGATAGATGTTTGGAATGCAGGTAGGAATTATACTGGTTTGTAGAGTAGTAGACTCTCCTCTGAGGCCCATGATCTAGCCCTAGATAATTGGCTAGGTTTCTGTTACCAAGCATGAGTGCCCTCCTGTTGACTGGGACTGGTGTCTAATTAGATAACGGTTGGTTCCTGCCAAGATAGGTGCTGCTATTGCACCTTTAGGGATGTTTTACCAGGCTGGTCGCTGTTTTTGGTTTTTTCTTTTTGTTTTTTGGTTTTTTTGAGACAGGGTTTCTCTGTGTAGCTTTGGCACCTTTCCTAGAACTTACTCCATAGCCCAGGCTGGCCTCGAATTCAAAGAGATCCACCTGCCTCTGCTTCCCGCATGCTGAGATTAAAAGTGTGAGCCACCGCCACCCGGCCAGGCTGGTCACTGTTACAGTTCATAGGCTTCACAGCTGGATAGGACCGTTGATTACCTCCCTCCTCTGGTAGCGTTCATGGCAGCTTGCAGTGTGATAAAAGCGAGTCCTCAGAGAGGAGGCTTTGGGGTCAGTTCTAAGTCCTATGTCCAAAGTATCTCTCCAAGTGGCACAACTTCATATATATGCATATATATGCACATACACTAATATTTTACACATAATTTTAAGTAAATATAAAATATAAAATACTATGATTTCTGTGGCCTTTTCAATCATCCTTAATGTTATTTACCCCTCCTCCTCCCTCTCCTGTATTGATCTCTCTCCTTCCCTCATTCCGAATTAAAGCCCTCTCCCTCTGATGTTTTAATTTCTCCCTTTGTATCAGTTCTGTTGCTCCTGTTTCTACCTCTAGAGCACGGGAATTGGATTCGTGTGCCACTGTACCTGGTTTTGTCTGGTGGTATTGATTGAATCCAGGGCCTCCTATGTACTAGGTAGAAATTCTTCCAATTGAGCTATATCCCCAGCTATACTTTTTAGCTGCAGAATTCCTTTTGATAATCTCTATTGCTTGCTGATAATTTTATGTTACTTATGTATTATTTCCTGGTTTCCTTAATTTTTGTAACCTGTGGGTTCATAAACTCATTGAGTACATTGAAGACTCCAGGGTCTAGGCTACTTGAGGGGTGGTTTCCGCCAAGTTCTTGTTTCCTGTGATTGGACCTTTACTGTTTGTTTGTACACCTTTGAATTTTTGTTGTTGTTATGAACTAGCTATTCAACAAATTATAATGTAAAACATTTCTTATTGTGTGTAAAACTGAAGTTTCTGTCTTTTATCTTTGTGTTCAGACAATGACTTACCAAAGATTTTCATAAATGTCTGGATTGAAAAAGGATTGGAAAAAGCTGTACCTTTCCCTTCAGTCTACTGATAGAGGGCTAGAGAGATGGCTCAGTGGTTTATAGCCAGCACTTGCTGCTTTTCCAGAGGACCTACATCCATGTTGAGTGGCTTACTACCACCTTTAACCCCAGCTCCACGGAGAGCTGATGCCTCTGGCTGCCACCAGCAACTGCACACACACACACACACACACACACACACACACACACACACACGCACGCATGCACGCACGCACGCACACACTTAAAATTTAACAAAAATCAATCTATTGATGGATGCTGTGGAAGAAAGCCACTGCTGTTTGAGAGGGCTGTACTGACCCACTGTCTGCAGCTATCCCACAGGACAGAATCTTACACTGGCTTGTGTCTTTTTTTTTTTTTTTTTTTTTTCTCCTTTTTTTTTGAAATAGAGTCTCACTGTTGTGTCTGGACCTTGCTATGCAGACCAGGCTGGCCTCAAACTCACAGAGATCACCTGCCTCTGGCTCCTGAGTGCTGGGGCCAAAGGTTTGCATCAGGCCAGCTTGTGTCATTTTTAATCAGTGCTGATGCACTGCTCTATTCTGTTGAGGCCTGAAAGCATAAGATCTAGCTCAGAGTTTAGCATCCTCTCTAGCTAGGTAATAAGCCACATGTAAGTTCAGAATGCTCCCTTTCAATTGCTGCTGTCTGAGAGGGTTAAGTGAGATTTATAGCTGACACTGTTTTTGCATCTTAGGTTATCATAAACTGCTGACTAAGAGTGTGGCTGAGACCCCAGTCCATAAGCAAATCTCCAGGCGGCTGCTCCACAGACAGATCAAGGGCAGGTGAGTGACAGCCCAGTCCAGACCCCTTCATACACCCAGGCCACCTTCAGCACTATCTCATAGGCAGCTCTTTGCCTTCTCTTGACTTTCTTGGCTAATTCTTAACCCTGTTGCTTATATTTTGCTGGTAGTAGAACAATCTACACGATTCCACTCTGGCCTCTTTTGCTGGGTATAACTATTTTGAGATTTATGCACATTGCTTGTATCAGTTCATCCCTTTTTATTACTAAGTAGTATTCCATTAAATGCATCTTCTGCATTCACCTATTGACATGGGGAAAGGTGGGTCCTTTTTCCTGCCAGGCAAGGCTGGAGATCCAAGTTAGCCTGTGCTGATAGGGGTACAGCTGGGGCTTGTTTTTCTCTGTAGTCACTAGTTGGACTAGGGTAATTACTGCCCCTTTCCAGAAGAGAGCTCTCTCTCGGGAGTAAATTTTGTCTCAGCCTTTTGGTATCTGTGGTCAGCTTCTCCAGCACCCAGTCTGAGATATGAGCAGCAGAAGTAAAACCCAGGGAGCTCACTGCCCCCCCCCCCCCCTTTTTCAGGTCCTCAGTTGACTGTCTTTCTCTCCACATCTCATTAAGAACAGGGGAAAATGCATCTACTACATATTGTCACAAATCTGCCTGGACATTGGGCAGATTCTCACACTTATGAAAGTTGCAGGGTGATTGTGAGAAGTGAGAATGATGTCCTCGACAAGCTGACAGGCACTAAGGCTCTTCACAAACATGCCTACTCTTTACTGTGACTATACAGTGTTTAGCTGTACTTTTTTTTTTCCCAGAGCTGAGGACCGAACCCAGGGCCTTGCGCTTGCTAGGCAAGCGCTCGACCACTGAGCTAAATCCCCAACCCCTCTGTACTATGTTTTTAATACATTGATGGAATAAAAACTCTTCTATTTTAAAGCTAATTTTGACATTATAAAAATACAGTAAAAGCATCCTAGGGGCTGGAGAGATGGCTCAGTGGTTAAGAGTACATAGTCTCTTACAGAGGACTTAACTTCACTTCCCAGTTCCCAGCAACAATCTGTAACTCCAGCTCCAGAGAATCCAACAACTCCGGTCTCCGTGGGCAATGCACATGTGCACAAGCAGACAGACAGACAGACAGACATACTTTTTTTTTAATATCTTAAAAAATTCTAGCCATTTCATTCTCCATAATAATTATATATATTATATATGTTATATATTATATAGAGAGAAAGTGTAGCTGATGGTGTTGTATATTAGCTTATGCAAGATTCATGCTTCAATCCTCAGCTCTCACAGGGATAATAATTGTGAATGAGAGTGCTTACCAATACTAATATTGTTAAACCCCAAGACTTTTGTAACGTTGCTGAGTGTTTTCTCTGTCTTTAATATGTTTTTGTTGTTGCATTCTATGTAAGTGTGTGTGTGTGTGTGTGTGTGTGTGTGTGTGTGTGTGTGTGTGTAGGTTGAGGACAGTTGTTTTTTTAGAGCTGGTCTGTCCTTCCACCGTGTAGTCCTGGGGATAGAACACAGGTTGCAGGGCTTGGCACAGGCCCTTCCTGAGCAGCGTGCCCGCCCTGTCGTCTTTACTGGGTAAACCGTGAGTGAGTGCTGTTTACTGTGCCGTCGCTCTTCCAGCCCCTTCCTGAGCAGCGTGCCCGCCCTGTCTGTCTGTCTGTACTGGGTGAATCGTGAGTGAGTGCTGTTGACTGTGCCGTTGCTCTTCCAGGTCTTCTGATCCTGGCCCTGACATTCACGTAGTTGAAGAGTCTCCTGAAAAGCAGGATGGTGAGCATGCTAGCTACTCTTTTTGCATTCTGTCTAGCTTCTACAAAAGCTTCAGGTAGTTTTCACTCAGCGTATCCTCAGATAGTTTCCAGAAATCAGGGTGGCTCTGGATCCAGCATACACATATGTGAATGTTGCTTTACAGAAAATGTATTCAATTTCTGGGGAAGAAATAATTTTACATAATAGAAGTAGGCCTTGGTGTGAGGATTCAACTTCCATGTTACACAAAGTGCTGTGATTTATTTAAAGTGTGTCTTAATAAGGGCAGGTGTTCAATGTTCAAAATCTACTTTCTTTTCTTTTGTTTTTGTATTGTTTGGGGTTGTTTTTTGTTTTGTTTTGTTTTGTTTTCATTTTTTTTTGCTACACAGGGTTTCTCTGTGTAGCCCTGGCTGTCCTGGAACTTGCTTTGTAGACCAGGCTGGCCTCAAACTCACATGCCTCTTCTGCCTCTCAAGTGCTGGGATTAAAGGTGTGGGCCACCACTGCCAGGCTCAAAGACCTTTTTCTTAAATTGTTTAAGTAACTCATGTTTGTGACAGAAAAATGGCTTAATAATTCCAGCACTCAGAAATACTTTTAACGTATTTTAGTGTGTATTCTTCCTAGACAAAAATATATGTTTTGTACATATAGAAAACCTAGTTAAGCTGGGCATGGTGGTGCAAGCCTTTAATCCCAGCTCTACCGCTCTGTAGGCAGAGGCAGATGGATCTCTGTGAGTGCAAGGCCAGCCTGGTCTACATAGAGTTCCAGGGCAAGCGGAGTACATAACAGAGAGACTCTTGTCTCAAAAAACAAACAAACAAACCTAGTTTTTGGTTTTGTTTTATACAAAAGTCACACTATTTATACTTTTTGTTCTTTCTGTCATGCTTAGAGGTGACAATTATGGGACTTGTAAAGGAATAAGCTCATGGGTCAGTGTTTTCTCCTACCTTGGTGGGACTGTGTGTCAGTCTCTTGTACACTTTTTCAGAGACACTTCAGATGGTGTCACAGAATGATGCCTGCACAGACTATGGGAGATGCTAAGTCTGAAACCCCTCCTGTTTACCAGCTCTGCTTCTGGTTTTGCAGAAATAGGTTTGAGACGAAGTCCTCGAATCAAACAGTTGTCGTTTAGCAGAACAGATTCTGGTTCCTTCTATTCTGTGTCTCAGCCAAAGTCTCGAAGTGTGCAAAGAATCCACTCATTCCAGAAGAAGTCAGGTAATCTGGGCACATCTGTCAAGTGAATGTTTTTGGGAATTTGACATTGTCTCAAGGTTTGAGAAATAATTAAGTTGATGGCTAGACAACAGTCCTTGGCCTGTACCCATTCCTCCCTTGGATTCCTACAGCCGGCCGGCCGTCCACCCTGCTGTTTAGGTAACTCATTCACTCCTACACACCGTTCCCCGGGTAGAGGGCAGGCAGTATCAGTTTGTCTGTTCATTGTGTTATCCATTTTTACCTTGGCTAGTAGATATGTTTTACAATATATTTATACTTAAGGTAAGTTATTTCAGTTGCTTCCATTTCCTAAAATAAGGTTAAAATCCAGGAAGACAGGGCCTAGAGAGATAGCTTAGTGGTTAAGAACACTGGCTGCTCTTGCAGAGGAAGGGTTCCCAGTATCCACATGTGGCTAACAACTGTCTGTAACTCTAGTTCCAGAGGATCCAGTGCCCTCTCTGGCTGCCTTAGGCACTGCATGCACCTGGTGCACACTTATATAGGCAAAACCCTGTACATACCATAAAATAAAAATAAATAAAATCTTTTTTTTATGCAGGAAGGCAGCAGTCATTGCAGTTATGCACATCATCAGTTGGGATTTTGCCCCCAACTGCTCTGAAACGTTGTCTTTCTTGTTTAACAATGTTGGAAGCACTGGGCATGGTGGTGCATGCCTTTAACCCCAGCACTGGGAGGCAGAGGCAGGTGAATCTCTGTGAGTTCAGGGCCAGTCTGGTCTACAGAGTGAGTTCTAGGACAGTGAGTGCTACATAGAGAGACCTTGTATGGGCCCCCCACCCGACCCCCCCAAAAAAATATTGGGAGGGCAAGTTTTGAGGAAGAATTAAATGTTTTTTTACTTGCAGACCAAAGAGAAAATTTTCCAGTCCAAAGTATTCGGTCTCCTAAAACACTTTTTTTTGGGGCACTGTCTGAGATAACTGGCTCCTCCAAGAAGGGCTCAGCTGGAATGAGGAAGTCCTCCAGAAGCATGTTGGATTCTGAGATGTCTACAGCTTACCAGGTATAAAATTCCTTTAATGTTTAAAATGGTACTGTCTTGGGGAATATAGAGAGAGACATTGCTGAAAGAAGCAGGTGTCCAGTAGAAAAAAGAAAACTGGGGCTCGCTCTATAGAGAATAAAAGGTATGGGTGAAGTGGGTTGGCACATGTCTTTAATCCCAGCCCTTGGGAGGCAGAGACAAGCAGATCTCTGAGTTTGAAGCTAGTCTGGTCTGCATAGTGAGTTCCAGGACAACCAGGGCTGTGTAAAGAAATAAAAGAAATAAAATAAACTAAACAGGAAAGTCTTGGGGGCTGGGTTAAGCTGCATGAACGGTTACTGGAAGGAACATGGGGTTTAAAGTAGCAGGTTTGTCTGAGGTCATGGCAGCGAGGAGATAGAGGTGCTGTTGGCTGCTCCTTTGGCTGTGCCTGCCATGGTGTGATCACTTCAGAGGCTTTTCTAGGTTCTACCTTCTCCCATCCAGTCCCATTTGACTGCCCATCACTGTTCAAAACCTGGCAGTTGCTCTTCATGTGTCTCAGGACGAAACCACTGAGCCAAGTCCTGCCTGTCTTAGTGCAGACGTTTATGCTCACCCACCTCTCCTCCATTCCCCTTAGTCAGTTCCACCTGGAATATTTTATTAGCCAGCCTCCATTTGGATCAAACTGGTCTTTCTGGAAGGTAGATCAGGCCTTGCTAAAGCAACGTTCCCTAAGTTTTCCTAAAGCAGAGCCTTTGCGTTCAGAAATCATCATTTTGTTTGAAAATCACTGAAACTGCTTCATTGTTAGAGGATGCCACAGAGCTACATGAACATGGCCAGTCTCCCCAGGGCAGTCTCCCGGGTTCTCATGGGTCCACCATGGGCTGGCCTGAGCCCTCCCCTCTTGGTGCTGTTGCTACTTAGCCTACCTAGAAAGCTACTGGTGTTCATATTTCTGCTTTTGTTTGTATTGTTTTCTGTAAATAAAGTGCCCTCTGCCCCACTTTCCCAGTCTCTGCCTTCTGCAGATACCCATTCATTTTTTCTGTTAGTACTTATTTGTGTGTGTGTGTGTGTGTGTGTGTGTGTGTGTGTGTGTGTGTGTGTGTGTGTGTGTGTGAGAAGTGGTGTGCATATGCCATAGCACATGTATGAAGGTCAGAGGTAGCTCTGTGGAATTGGTTCTTTATTCTTACCTTTATGAGGGATCCAGGGATCAAACTTAGGTTGCCAGCCTTGTATGGAAAGCATCTTTACCTACTGAGCCATCCTGTTGGCTCAGGCATCCATTCTTGAATGCCTGCTTCCTAAGTCATTCTTCCTCGTCCCTCAACTGGGCTACACAGCCTCCTCTGTGCTTTTCTGCATGTCCCTGCCAACTCACTGAACATGGAAACTAGTTAGCCTGGGCTTCCCTTGAGACTGTCCAGTCATGTTATAGAAAGATGGGTATTTGACTGCCTCACCTTGTGGAGTTTTTTGTTCTTGTTAACAAGAAGGAAGGAAATCTTTGGTTTGGGAGTGGCCTTTCTGAGACATCATTGCTGCTGTGCCTATGTGTTTGTCTATTCTATTGCCCTGCCACCTCCTGGATCCTAGGAAAAGTGTACCAGTAAAATATGAGTGATGTTTGGGAGAGGGAAACGGGTCTCTATTTCTAATTCTCGATTTAAGATCATTCTTTTGGCTGACTTTAAGTCTCCTCTTTGGTTTTCTAATTGTCTTAGAGATCACTAAGACAGTCTTTAGAGAATATAGATTATAATATTCAAGCTCTGAAATAAACATTTTTTTTCTTTTCAGACTCCCAAAAAGAGTAACCAAAAATCTCCAAGCTTTCCTAAAACTACACCAAGAAGGTTCCCTCGTACAGCACAGACCTCACTGTGCACTCCAGAAAGACTACAAAACTCCCCTACAGAAATAACTCTGGCTGAGCGGGCCATTTCTGAGGCTTCCTTAAAAGAATCCTCCTCACATGGTTATAGCTCACCACTGGCATCAAAAGTCACTCCCCAAAAGAGAGCCTCCCCAGCAGAAGAGACCTCTCCTCTCCTCACAAAGCTGCCCAGAACACCCAGGAGACCAGACATCCAACCACCTCGATGCTTATCGGACTGTATGAATTCCAGTCCAGAAAGCCCTTATTGTCCAGCATCCCCAACTCCCTTGACTGCTAATTCCCAAAGTCACTGTCGAAGCCCTGTAAGATACTCCTTCAGAACACCTCCCCGGATGGCCCTTGCTGGCACCCCTGAGCATCAGAAGCACCAACCACTCCCTCTCCCCAGGGCCTCTCGGGCACAGGAACCTACACAGAAACTGCAGGAGAGAGCTGTCAAAACCCCAACGAGGCCAGCAGACTCCATTACTTCTTCTCCACCTTGTTCTCTAAAGGAGCACTTTACTTCTCCTGGATGTGATGTCTCCTGGCGTCCACTTAGGACATCTTTGTCAGCCTCCCCTCCTCCTGGAGAACTAAGTTGGAAAGCACACCAGACATCACCCAGCACAGCTGCATCTTTCCCTTACCCTGTTCCCTCAACTCCTCCTAGAACCCCACCGAGAATGACCTCCCACCCCAAACCCCCTTCTCCGCCATCTAAGCTTGGGAGACTGTGGAGAAAGACCTCCAGTCCTCAAGACTTTCCTGAGTGCCAGCCGGGACCCTTTGCTGCTCCAGTGCTTGAAGCAGCTACCAGCCCAGGGGCCATCACAGGCTCTAGAGGACCGCAATCCCAGTCTTCTGAAGGGCAGGGCTACCAGGGCACTGGGCTCAGCAATGACTGGCAGGTATCTTCTCCTCTGCTCATTGCAAGTGACACAGAGCACCTTCCTCTGACTGAAGCCCAACTCCATAGCCTGGAGACCCATGAGGGGGAAAGTGGCATCTTGCCAGGGGAAGACGGTGAGGGGCCAAAGACCACTGTTGCTGATGAGCCTCGCTCTGGGTCTGGCCCTGGGATTCCTCCACCTGTCCCTTCCTCTGTGTCCAGCTCCCCTGAGCTGCTGTCCTACACCTGCATGGCAGACCGAAGGCAGAGCAAGGCTACTGCTCAGCAGGGGAGCCTGCAGGCCCCGGAGGCCACTGGCAGCCCTCAGACCTATGAGGTTGAGCTGGAGATGCAAGCTTCTGGCCTTCCCAAGCTCCGAATTAAAAAGGTAGACCCTGGAGCTCTTCTGGAAGCTGAGGCCCTAGGAAAGGACAGCCCTCCAGGAGAGGAGGGTGCCCTCCCTGCTCTCGGCATGCCCAAGGCCAGTAAGTCCTCCAGTAGAGTTGAGCACACCTATCTGTCACCCCCCTGCCTCCGGCCCTCACACAGCACGCCTGGCAAGAGTGGGGGGCAAACCTTCATCTGCCAGTCTTGTACTCCCTCCCGCTGCCCGTCCAGTACCCCCTCTCCATTTCAGGCAGATGTTGGGGTTTCTTGGACACCATCTCCCAAGCAGAGTGGGAAGACCACTCCTGAAATTATCAAAGACTGGCCCCGAAGGAAGAGGGCCGTGGACTGCAGTGCTGGTCCTGCTGGCAGAGGCGAGGCCAGTGCAGACTTCCCTGGGGCTTTGTCACTGCTTGAGCCTGAGCCTGAGCCTGAGGGAAAGGAGCATGGCCTTGAACATGGCCTCCCTAAGGTTCTTGTCTTGGAGGATTTTGAACTAGAGGGGGTGTGTCAATTGCCAGACCAGTCACCTCCCAAAGACAGTGTGTCTAAGGCTGAGGAAGCCTCCTGGGGACAGTTTGGATTAGGCTCCAGAAAGAGACTCTTGTCTGCCAAGGAAGAAGCTGAATACGATGTCAAAAGGGTCTGTGATTCCCTGAGCGAAGAGCCCCAAGCCAGCAAGCATAGAGAGTGGTCTCCACCTTGGAATGCACCACCACTCTGCTCAGTAGGGGAAGACGAGGTGTTTGTTTCTGGTGAGTTTATTTTTCAAGCCAACATGCGGTGTGTTTTCTCTTGGGCAGAGTGGTGAGGAGGTGTTTGGAGCTGTGGGTAGCCTGGAGTCTTGTGGGCCTACACTTACCTTGTGGCATCTCCTTAGGCTCCACCCCACCCTCTGGCTGTATGGTACGGAGCTGCCTCTCTGCCAGTGGTCTGCAGGCCCTGACCCAGTCTCCGCTGCTGTTCCAGGGAAGAACACCGTCCTCTCACAGCAAGGACACCAGAGGTAATCTGCCTGTTACAGGTCCCAGATGCTCACCAGGGCTGAGCACTCCTCCTGTGTGTGATTTGCAGAGTTCTCTTGAAAGTGCAGACTGGGTGGGAAGATGATTTTGACCCTGCAGTGTCCTGTGCCTTTCCCAGAGAGGCTTCATGGTAGAACGTGAGGCATCTGAAGAGAAACCTCTACAAAATCTTATCAGACTAGTTCAGACAATGGGAGTGGTGTACATGCCATGACGTTGCTGGTCTGTAGTCTTGGGCAGTGAAATGGCCTGGGCAGCACAAGTGACAGTGATCAGGGCCAGCCACTTCCTCACAGTAGGTTCATGTCCACATTTCCTTTAGTTCATCACGAACAAGTTCTGTCGTCCTCTGCCATCAGGCCCTAGCTTTTCTCATCTGCTGGCCCTTACATAAAAGCATAGGATCTGGCTGCTCAAAACACTGGTTAGAAACATAAGCGGCGCGGGACTTGGGTGGCTCTCTCCTCACAAAACATTTCAGCCATGCAAAGTAACATAAACCCCTCTAATCCGACCTAAGAGAAAGCCCTCTGTGTGGACACACATTCGGGTACTTTGCATTTCCAGTGGCTTGTCGCTGTCTGCACATATCCCTTATAACAAGTGTAGGTGACACTCCTGAGTCCACGCTTGTGAGACCCTCTGTGGTTAGAGCAGGCCTCACTGATCTCTGCTTTTCCCCAGATGAGGATATGGATGTGTTCCCCTCCACTACCGAAGAGTCTCCTTTCAGGCAAGCCTTCTCCCGGAAACGGCCTTTCAGAACCTACACGAGGAAGAAGCTTATTAGCTAGCCCTGGTAGAACACAGCTGGAGGACTCAGAAGGAGGAACACTGCAAGCCTGGCCAGATCCCTCTGGGGCAGTGCTCCAAAGTAGCTTTCTCTGGATGTGGTAACAATGCCAGGCTCATACCACCAATCCCAGCAATGTACCCAGAACAGGAGTGGCCAGAACTTAATGGGACTGAGAAAGTTTACAAGTAAAGATGACGGCAGCTAGGTCCCTGTGGACTTAAAGAAGTTGGGGGCTTTGCAGGGTGTGGTACCTGCCTATAGTCCCAGCACTTGGGAGGTGAGGACAGAAAGCCCAGAAGCTCCTGACTGCATAGCAAGTACAAGGATGGCCTGGGCTGTATGAGACCCTGTCTCAAAAAACAACAACAAAGACATTACGAACCTTGAGCCTTTCCCCATAGTCATTGTTCAGCTTACCACTGGAATGTCTCATGGTCTCCCAGTCCCTCTCATGGACTTCATCTGAGGCCAGGCCCTGGCCCTTTTAGGGAAAGTTAGGAATCTGGTGGGCAGCATGGCAGCTGGTACTATGACTCAGGCAGCCTGGAAGTCTAGACACCAAGCAAGGATCCCATTCCAGTGTCCCCAAACCATGACCTTGGTGAAATGGAGACACAAGAACCCTTGACATACTCCCTTGAGGTGTTTGCCATAGGCTTGAGTTCCATGACACAAGCGGTACTTCATAAACTAAGACCTGTATGTGAAAGACTACAGCAAGAAGCGAGGTAACAGTAAAGTCACCCTGGCTACTTAGCCTAGGAGTGATTGTGACCATGGTCCAGAGATCATTGCAGGGTCTGCCCTGAGAGCCAGCCACCTCATGGCAGAGTCTTAGCCTGGTATGTGCTTGGCACCTGTGTTGACCTGTAATCAACTAAACCAACTCGCTGGAGTCTTGGCAGGAGCCTCATGTGTGTGTGTGGGGGGGGGGGGGGGGGGGGGGGGGGGGGGGCTCAAGACTCTCTCTTCCTATTGTGGGATTCCAAGTGGAAACTACCATTTCTCCTGTCAAAGATGTGTTCACTTTGTGTGGTTGACATGAACAAGTAGAAACGAAGACAAGGGGCGGCCCTGGAGTGCCTGCCTGGGTCAGTCCCAGTCCCACGATGAGTAAAGAAGACAAGGCTTCACGTTGGCTCAGGCTCTCAGAGGTCAAAGTTCATGGCTGTCTGTCTGACTGGGGGCCTGTGCACAGGCAGTGAGGCAACCAGGAAGTGGGGGGAGGGGCAGGACTCCAGCACCCCTTCAAGGGTGCTCTCCAGTAACCTCCACTAGACGCCAACTCAGGCTCCACTGCCTCAGGATCAGCCTTCAGGAGTCCTTGAGGATGTATTTAAGATGTAAGCCATTATCAGATCATTCCTGTTTATTATTAAATGATATTTTAAAAAATTCTAAAATGCTAATAACTTTCCTAGTTCCCCCATTCACATAAGACCGTTAAAGCCTTAACCCTCTCGCCACTGGCCATTTTGTGATAAGCCTTGGATGAGCTCCAGACTTGTCCCACAAATGAAAGGTAGCTATCAGGTCCTACAGCTTAAAGGAAGAGGGAGTCGGAGTTTGCATGTATTTAATAATGCTAAAGGTGTTATGTACAAGGTCCTGGGTTCAATCCCCAGTACCACAGTGGGGAAAGGTCCAGTTCTTTTGGGCTATGGCCCAAATTTGCTGACTCCAATTAGTGTAAAGATGGATTTACAGTGTGAGGTAAGAGCTGTCCTTCACAGAAGCAAAACAGGCGGCCTCTCCTCTCAGCAGGACTGGAATCCGAGGCAGGGCCTGACCAAAGCCTACAAAGGGTTTTTCCTGACATCGATCATCCATGGGCTGGTTCTTCGGGATTCCCACCGGGGTTTAGGCAAAGGTCCAAAGTTCCAGGAGAGGCCCACTTCACCCACGGGTAGCACGCGCCCTACTGGGGGTTCAGTTGTTTCCCAGGCCCTCAGCTCCTCCGAGGAGCCCTGCTCACTGCACAAGCTTGAGCGTTTCCATGTCAGGGGTAGTGGGGCATGGACCAAGTCCCGGGTCTCATCCCAGGCACGGGATGCCCCCTCCAGAAGGGAGGACTGCCAGGGAGCTTCAGGAGCTGCTGGGTGGAGCCCATCTTCATTCCCAAGGCCTTGTCTGGTTTCTAGGCAGAGGCTTCTCCTCTCTCCACCTGTCACAGAACAGCATCTTTGTCAGACATGGAGGGAGACAAAGGTGACCCCAAACCCAGTTTCCCCATGCCCCTGAACAAGCAACTTGAAACGAGCCAACAGAAGCACACATGAGACATCTGGGTGGAGCACAGGCCTGTGGGCCCAGGACCACAGCTCAAGATCATCTTTGGCTTTGTAGGAGTTGGAGGTCAATGTGTTCCTCCCTGACTCCCCCATGGGGCACACTCAAACTGGGCACCAGTGTTTACCCCGGCTCTGGCTGGCCGGATTTCCTGCACTGAGCTTCTGCTTCAGCTCCTGGTTTATCCAGATGTGTCGGCTCAGTTCCTTCTCTAGAACTTGAATCCGGGCCTCATATTGCCTCCTGATGTCTGCTAAGCCCTCGCCAAGTTGGTCTGGTGTGGAAAGAGAATTAATTAGTAAGGGGCTGTGGGCAGGGCACCTCGGGCTTGAGGCAGCCCTGATCATGGGTAGAGTGCCAGGCAGCATCCCCCCAACCCTCACCTCGACCCTGCTGGAGGAGCAGCTGCACATTCTGCTCATGCTCCTTCTGCTGCAGGGTCAGCTGGCGGTCCATCTCCAGCCGCTGCCGCTCCAGTGCCACCTCCAGCCAGTACACCAGCCGCTGCTGCTCCTCCAGCTGCATCTCCAGCTCCGAGAAGGCAATCTGTTGCTGGTGCTGCTCCTCTCGGAGTGTCACCACCTGTCCCAGGAACAGCCAGGCTCAGCCACCACACTCAGCCAGTTCGTAAACGTGCTCACAAGGAAATCACCAAGCCTTTCCTGCCTCTTACACACTGTTCTAGACAGTGAACTCCCAACAATCAGAGCTGGCTTTCTAGGTGGAACTTACCACAAACCTTTCCCCACCACACAGTACTGAGCTGCTAGACTGGAACTGCATCCAGACCAGCATTTCTCAACCAAAGAATACTAAGGCATTTGGGGCTGGGCAATTCCTGGTGTGGGGCCTGTCTATATTGAAGAATTTGGCAACATCCCTGGCCTCCCCTCCCGCCTAATGGCAACCAAAAATACCTCCAGACATATCCCTAGAGAAAAAAATCCGTTAGTCCCTCTTGAAATCCCATTAATACAGGCCAGGGCCTTCAGACCAGAAGGGAGAGGAGCCTGAGTCTTAGCTTCACTAAGATAGCTTCAAAGTGACCTTGACCCTGTCCCCTCATCTGGGAGCAAGGGACAAACTTCTTGGAGTTGCCCACAACAAGCTAAAGGGAGCAGAGGCAAGGGGGTTGTGTTGGTATCCACCTTGTCAAAATACTTGCACAGCAGGGCTCTGGTCTCCGAGGAGGAGAGGTAGCTGAGCTTGCCCATGAGATTCATCTCACACTGGGACAGCAGGGAGGCCGAGGCCCGCAGCACCCTCTGGCGGCAGGTGATAGCCTCATTCTTGTACTCAATGGCAGCATCCAGGGCCTCGATGGCTTCATCCAGCTGGAACAGTGTCCTCTCCTCCTGCAGGAACAGGTGCAGGCATGGAGGATGGGTATCAGACTTCCTGAACAACAGAGTCCTGGGCAGGTACACAACCGCCAACACACAGACACAACTGAGCCTTCAGAGTTCCCTCGACCTGAGACTGTCTCGAACATACAGGAAATGTCCCTCGCTGCAGCAGCAACAGGGACACGCTGCCTGACACCATGAAAGACGCAATGCCTTGAGGCTGTGTTCTCAAGGGGGTAAGCTCGGGGAGCTCCAGAAAGCTGAGCTGGAACTGCCCAAGACCCCAGCCAGCCAGGGCTAAGCCTATGCAGTGCAGGCTTCTGCTGTTCAAAGGAAGAGCGCTTTGTCTAGAGCACAGCACAGATGTCTAGCTCCACTGGAAGGGAACTGAGAAGTCCATGGGGTCCCACAACCATCAAGGGGGCCCAAGGGACAATCTCTCTACCTTGCAAGGCTTAACACACATTAGGGCACTTGTGTGTTAGTACAGACTGAGGCAGGGCAGGGGGCAGAGGGTGGCAGAAGGACAGGTGGACAAGGGATCAATGAGAGCTGAAGCATGGGGACAGAGCTGGGTGGCCACCCGGTGGCCATACCTCAGGTGACAGCAGGCTTCCTTGCCTCAGCTTGCTATCAATCTCCAGGCGCTGCTTCAGCAGGGAGTCCTTCTCCTGGCGCAGGGTGTCTATCTCCCCTCGGATCTGCTGCTGGTTCTGAGCGCTGCCTTGCCGCAGCTGCCCGCTCTTCTCAGAGAGCTCCTTCTCCAGGTGTTCTAGACGGCTGGACACGCGCACGATGTCTTCATTTAGGGCCTGAGGCATTACCGCCAGTGATCAGAGAAGGAGCAGGTGCTGTCCTCACAGAGGACACAGACAGAAAGGGCCCAGCTGGCTCACTGGATGCTAAGGAGGATGTGGGTCCTTCCCTGGCCTGCCTGTAACCCAGACGTTTGCTCAGGGATCAGGGCCCTTTAAAGGACCAGAACATCTATGGAGGAGATGGCCCAGAGGATTGTGCAAGCAGAGAGAACAGGCTCCAACGTCAAGAAGCTGGTTTGTGGGAGGCTATCAGTGAGGAGACTTGGCTGGAGAGGATGGGACTATGGGAAACTGGCCCTTCCTAGAGGCTCATGGAAGGAAGCAAGGGTGCCTGTGAGCAGGGATATTATAGATCACCTAATGACCTCTAGGCCTCTCAGATCTCTTGTGTTCCATGATGGTATGGCAGGAACCCTGGTCTGAGTGTCCACAACCCTTCAGGAATCTGGCTTTGACCCAAGCACCTGGATTAGAACAGTCCTGGGTCTGGGTGTGACGTAGCCCCACTAAATTCTCTTGGCCACATTCTGATCTACCTGACAGAAGAACAAGGTGGTTCAGCAGCTGGACTTTCTAGTAAAGAGGAGGTAACCCTGCCAGATGCAGATGGACCCACCGCCTCCCTCCCACAAAGCTGGAATCTAGTTGGCCATACACTTCCTACACCTGTTCCTCATTTTGCCCGTTGGGTCCCAAAGTGGTGTTTGCAAAATGTGAAATGGACTACGGGATGGGTACCAATGTCCCATATATGAGTTCCGTGTCATAAACAGCCTTGGGGTTCTTGGAAATCCATAGGCTATAGCCTAGAGGGCAAAGCTTCCCCGGTCTTAACCTGGCAAGAACATCCTCTCTGGCAAGATCATCTGGAAGAACCTCCCCTAGCTACACCCTGCCCTGCAGGGCCTCACCTGGCTGGGAATCTTGTGATGGGGGCTCACCTGGCTGGACCTCAGGCGCTTGTTCTCTAGCCCCGTCTTCTCCTGTATCAGGGCCTCCTTCTTGGCCAGGATGACCTCCCGCTTGTGGAGTTCTTGTCCTAACTCCTCCAGCGCCCGCCGCTGCTGCAACACCTTTTCCATCTCCTGGTCCAGCCACTTCTTCTGCTCCTCAATCTTCTGAGGGACCCCACGGGGGGCGGGGGAGAGGGGGAGGCAGGGATCTCAGTACCCGCCTCGAGCTGGAGCCACTCCCCGAGGTCCCACAGCACGTCCCCAGTGGACCCGTCCCCCAGCCGCCAATCTCACGGGGCCACGGGCTCAGCCCGGCCGCACCTGCTGCTGCTCCAGGCTGACCACGGAGCCATTGCTGCCGCTGCGCCTCTTCCTCTGGAAGGCTGCGATCTCTTCCGTCTTGATTTTCAAGATCTGCTGCTGCTGCTGGTGCTTCAGCTCCAGTTCCTGGGGGAGGAAGTCCAGAGGGGAGGGGAAACACGGTGGGGAG